TATGAGGACTTGCCAGCACCGTCGCCGGTACGTCGAGATGGGCAAAATCTACATGGACGGAGAGAACCGCGTGCGTTTGCCAAACGGGTCGTACGTCCCGAGGAACCTTGCGGGTCAGTGGATGATGCACCGCGTCGACACCTGGTGGTCGTTGAACGAGAACAACGTGTCTTCCTCCGGGGCCACGGACGGAACGACGAGGGACGCGCCGCCCCACCTGTCTGCCAACATCGTGGAGATATCGTCAGAGTACAGTTACGAGCAAGCGGCGGAACAGCGAGACGCGTATACGGAGGAACGGGCCCGCGAGCTCGAAGAAAAAGCTCAAGTATTGGCAGCGGAGGCAGCACGCGTACGCGGAGGAGCGAAGAAGGTCAGATTCGAGGAGGAACGCGGAGGGAAAAGTACGGCCAGCGGGCTGAAGGGTGCGAGCGGCAAGCCTCCGGGCATCCCGCGAAGAGCATCCCCGTCGACGGAGGGAAGACTGGCGCCGCGAAGGATGCCGGAAAGGGACCCGGAGCGAAGGACGGAGGGAAGCCGCGTGCGAGCGAGCCGCAGTACCGCTACTCGACGAAGATTAACGGCAGTAAGGATCCGGTGGAGAAGGCGGAGGAGCTCGTGAAGCGTATGTTCTACGGGGAGAGCGGGCGGCATGGGGAGAGATTGCCGAAGTCAGCCAGGAGTTTCGCCGCGCAACGGTGGACCAGTGCAAGGCGCAGCGCGTCCGGTCGCCAATAGCCTTGAGGAGGCGGACGAGAGTTTCCTTGTCGACAGGGAAGTGTTCCTCGGCGGGGAGCGGAGCTGCCGAACGTCGGAAGCTGGGACTCGCTGAGCCTGCGGGTGGTACGTCCTACCGTGAATGGGGAGGCCGACGTCGAGGGAGTCCTGGACTCCGGGTGCCAGATGACCATCATCCGGAAGGACTGTGGTTGAAGCTCGGAGGTACGCTGCGCCCGGACGAGGGCTGCATCATGGAAACCGCGAACCGGTCCAAGGTCCAGACGGTCGGCAAGGCCATGAACGTGCGGTTCTCTTTCGACGACGAGGTCGAGGTATGCTGAACGCGCAGATCGTCGAGGTCGCGCCGTTCGAGGTACTGCTTGGGAGACCGTTCTTCGCCGCTACGCAGTGCGAGACGAAGGACTTCCCGGACGGTAACCAGACATCGTCTTGACGGACCCGAAGAGCGGACGCCGCGTCATGGTGCCTACGTACGAGCGCGTTGCCCAGGGACCTGGCCGGAAGGAGCGGAACGTGCGCGAGGACGCCTCCAACGAGGATTTTTAATTGTCGATGATGCAAGCATTGCGAGCGGAGACGATCTAGTGAGCCATTTCTCGATGTACGTCTGGGACGGAGGGGACGGAAGGAAGAGGAGGTCCCTGATGCCGGACGGAAGGAGCACAGGTCGTCGGCCCTCGTCGCAGATACCCATACCCCGTCATGTACAAAGTACGAAGAGCGTAGCGGCGAAATACACGATAGCGTTGCTCAGTACCACGGGGAGGACTGCGGTGAGATACCCGACGAGCCTGAAGAGACGACGACGAGTTTGCAATTGAGGAAGGAGCTGAGGCCCAGGTCCTGGCGTACAAGAAGGTCGCCCGGAAGGTACGGCCTGTAGCAACGACCTGCCGGAGGAGTTCAGGGTAGTCCGGAGGGAAGCTAAGGACGCGTTAGTAGGGATGCCGGTGCTGCCAGCGAAACCGCCTGAGTTCGTTCCGACCGGAAGGTACACACAGGAGCGAAGAGACGCGTTAAACGTCGGAGGGAACGGGTTCCTTACGGAAGAAGAGACGAAACTGGTAGACTGGCTGGTCGCACGGCACAATGGCGTATTCGCATGGGACGAGACGGAGAAGGGCCGACTCAAGGACGAGTACTTCGATCCGGTGGTCATACCGACTATTGAGCACGTCCCTGGGTGCTGAGGAACATACCGATCCCCCCGGCATATACGACGAGGTCGTACGGATCATCAAGGACAAGATCGCGTCCGGTGTGTACGAACCCTCGAGCTCGTCCTACAGATCGCGCTGGTTCTGTGTGGTAAAGAAGGACGGAAAGTCCCTCCGGTTAGTGCATGATCTACAGCCTCTCAACGCGGTGACTATCAAGGACGCGGCGGTCCCTCCGTTCGTCGAGCATCTGGCGGAATCGTTCGGAGGGAGAGCATGCTACGGTTCCCTGGACCTGTTGTGGCCTTCGACCAGCGTACCCTGGATGCGAGGTCCCGCGATCTAACGACGTTCCAGTCCCCGCTAGGAGCCATGCGACTCACGTCGGTACCGATGGGCTGGACGAACGCGCTGCAGATTGTACACGGGGACGTCACGTTCATCATGAAGGATGAGATCCCGGAGGTAACGGTTCCGTTCGCAGACGACGTCAACGCGAAAGGTCCCAAGACACGGTACGAGCTCCCGGACGGAGGGTATGAGACGATCCCGGAGAACCCTGGTATACGGCGATTCGTCTGGGAACACCTACAGAACATGAACCGGATCCTACAACGGATGGGTGCGGTCGGCGGGACGTTCTCCGGAAAGAAGGCCTACATGTGCGTCCCGGATGTAGTCGTACTCGGACACAAGTGTACGTACACCGGAAGGGAGCCAGATGAGGGACGAGTGCAGAAGATCCGTGACTGGCCGGCATGCGAGACCATCACGGACGTGCGGGCATTCCTAGGGACGATGGGGCTGGTCAGGATCTTTGTCAAGGACTTCGCCAGAATCGCCCGGCCATTGACGCGGTTGACACGCAAGGACATCGAGTTCATGTGGGGACCGGAGGAAGCAGAGGCGATGCAAATCCTCAAGGACGCGCTAATCAACTCGCCGGCACTCCTTCCGATTGACTACTCGGCGGACAGAACGGTGATACTCGCGGTAGACTCGTCCGTGATAGGCGTAGGGTTCGTACTCCTACAGGTGAACACCGGAGGGAAGCGAATGCCCAGCCGGTTCAGCTCTATTACGTGGAACGAGCGGGAGTCCAGGTACTCTCAGGCGAAGATTGAGCTATACGGTCTCTTCCGGGCACTGCGGGCCTCGCGCATCTACGTTATCGGAGTGAAGAGCCTTGAGGTCGAGGTCGACGCGAAGTACATCAAGGGCATGCTCAACAATCCGGACATACAGCCGAATGCGGCGATGAACCGGTGGATAGCCGCGATCTTGCTGTTTGACTTCAAGCTGGTGCACGTTCCGGGGGACAGACACTCTGGGGCGGACGGATTATCGCGCCGGAGGAAAGCTGACGAGGATCCCGAGGACGAGGGCGACCCGGAAGAATGGATAGACGAGGCGTGCGCACTAACGATCCTCTGTTGGAATTCCAGCGAGCCAAGCTGCCGCCGGAAGGGACTGAGAGCTCGCGAGGAGGAGCGTGTGCTTTGTCTCGCTACGGAGGAGCCGAACCGGAGGCGGTGCAGATACCGCGGCACGAGAAAGCGGAGGCATGGGACGCCGAGCTAGAACGGATACAGAAGTTCCTGAGCGACATGGAGCGACCGGATGACCTAGCTGATGAAGCGCTGTTCCGCCGGTTCGTCCGCAAGGCCGGGCAGTTCTTCCTCCGGAAGGGACGGCTCTGGAGACGCGACCCGGAGGGAAAGCACAAGCGCGTGATCCGGAAGGAACGACGTCTGGAGCTACTGAGGCAGGCGCACGACGATCTCGGGCATCGCGGGATGTATACAGTCCGGACGCGACTACTGGAACGATTCTGGTGGCCTCACCTTGATCAAGACGTGAAATGGTACGTCAGTACGTGCCACGAGTGCCAGTTGCGGAGTACGCAGAAGATCAGAATCCCACCGACGGTAGCGACACCGCTAGGCTCTTCCAGAAGGTCTATATCGACACGATGCACATGCCGAAGGCCGGAGGGTACTCATACATCGTCCAGCCCGGTGTTCGATGTCATCGTACCCGGAATGGAGAAAGCTCCGGAACGAGACAGCGCGGACGCTGGCCGCCTTCATCTTCGAGGAGATCCTATGTCGCTGGGGTGCGGTAGCTGAGTTTGTCACGGATAACGGGCCTGCGTTCATCGCAGCTATGGAGATCTTGTCGAAGAAGTACGGTATCAACCACATTAAGATCTCGCCGTACAACTCGCGGGCGAATGGCGCGGTGGAACGAAGGCACTTCGACGTGCGCGAGGCAGCCATGAAGCTCTGCGGAGGGAACGAGACCAAGTGGCCTACGGTTATCGATGCGGTGTTCTGGGCGGAACGGGTATCTATCCAGAAGAGCACTGGGATGTCGCCGTACCGAATCGTGCACGGAGTGGAGCCCGTGTTCCCTTTCGATTTGGCGGAGGCAACCTACCTCGTTCCCGGACCGGAGGGAATGATATCGCAGGAAGAATTCATCGCGCAACGGGCCCAGGCTCTACTTAAGCGGAGGGAAGATTTGAACGCAATTCACGCTAAGTGGTCAAGGCACGGTACAAGTCGGTGGAACAGTTTATTAAGAAGAACGAGTACACGATCAGGATTATGAGCATAAGCCGGGGACCTGGTGCTCGTACGGAACTCCCAGATCGAGACGGAGCATAACAGGAAGGCCAAACGGCGGTATCTAGGGCCAATGATAGTGGTGCGAAGAACGGAGGGTGGGTCGTATATCCTGGCGGAACTGGATGGAAGCGTATCGCGGCATCGGTATGCGGCGTTCAGGGTAGCACCCTACCGGGGGCGGAACGAAGCGTCAGTAGACATCTCGGCAATACAAGAATGGGACGAGTACTTGCCGGATGAAACGAAGAGCTGAAGCACGTTCGGAACATACGAGGGCGACGAAGACGAGGAAGAGGAGGATGAATAGGGGAACCGGAGGGAGGGGTAGCGGGGTCAGAATTGACGAGGCGCACGGAGGGGAGTGAGTATCCCGGAGGGAGTGGGGAGGAGGATCGAAGGTGGTCGACAAGACCGTTGAGGAGAGCGTCAAGGGAGTCGAAGGAGGGATCGTCGGGGCCACGTTCCGGGGAAGTCAGGCGGGCGTAGGCATCGACCTGGAAGTCGTCGAGCTCGCGGACGACACGGATAAAGCATCAAGTGTCTCGCGGACGGCGTGAACGCGAGCGGCGAGGGAGCGGACGGAGTGAATCGTGGAACGCTGGGCCTCGTCGGCGAGGCGGCGGAATTCGGCGAAGGATGTACGAAACTCGGTGACTTGGCGGAGGGAACGGCGGTCTACCGTATCAAGGGCGTGGAACAGGCCTCCCATAGCGGTAGCAAGGTTGCCCCGGAGGGAGCTAAACTCGGACTCCACACCCCGGAGGGTGGCGGCGTGCTCAGCGGAGAGAGCCTCAAGACGGGATAGGCGTTCTTCGACGGAGAGGTCAGTGAAGAGGACGGTATCGTTGCGGTCGTCGGAAGTGACCACGCCGTTCACACCCGGCGAGGACGGAGGGGCGGGGCTGGCCATGATAGATGCAAGCTCCGTGCAAGAATGAGGGGGAGGAGACGTGCGGAGGGGGAGGGAATATAAGGGACGCGGGAGGGTATGCGGAACGGCTTATCGGTCGAGATCGATGAAGAGAACAGGCACGCGATGCGAGGCCGGGGAGTACGTGGGGGGAGTGGAATGGGGCGCTTGCAGATTAACGAGGGCACGAGGTGACAACGGGAGTCAGAGTACGGAGAACCCCGGATTCAAGAAACTCGGTCGCGAGGGAGAGCGGACAACAAAGCCATTTCATTAACAATTAGCGAGGAACGGGGAATACATGGACGGGAACAGGACAGGGACTACTTTACATACAAGTACGAACGGAGCCTACTCTACTGCGCATCCTCCGACTCCAGATCTGCGTCAACCGCGGCGGCGTCCGCCATCTCGGTGTCCTCATCGGGAGTGACACGTCCCGCCGCGTCGTTGGGGGCGCCCAGCAAACCCGGACGAAGGACGAACCGCTCGACCGCGTCGAGGCCGCCCGCAAGGTCCTGGACACGGCGACGACGGAGCGGGACGGGCCAGCCACAGGAGACGGGGAACGAGCTGGCGGGGGTGCGTAGGACGCCAGGAGGTCGGCCGGCGGGTTCCCTCGACGATCGTGGAACGGGGAATGCGGGGCGTGTGGTCGTAGCGGGCGGCGACCTCAGGGGAGACGTCGGCGTGAAGGCCGATGTACCGGAGACGCGGGGGCCATTGGCTGGAATGTCAAGGTCGACACGTCAGCAAGGAGAAGGAGGAGCGGAGGGAGAAAAACACGCACGAAGCCGAGTGAGGGAGCACTGCTCCTTCAAACGGATACAGTGCTGCACCCATGGCCAGGGTACCCGTCGCGGCGACAAACGTGATTGCGCTTGCGCATTTCTCGCACGGCGTGCCCGGACTGTACACGAAGGGCCCGTATCGGATACGGTCCTTCCTCGAAGATGCGCCTTTGGAGGCGGCGGAGCGATGTCGACGAGTCCTGGGGCGGACGAGAAGGAGCGGGCGGAGGCAACGGGCGGGCGAGGAGGGTGAACGATGAGACGGGGGAGGCGACGTGGAGCGGGATCGGGGGCGGGAGACGGGACGGAGCGGGGCTGAGGACGGCGATCGGGGGAGGGGACGGGAAACGACGAGGAACGGCTCGTCCCCGCGGAAACGACGGAGGCGGGACGGGGACTCACCACGAGCGGACGGCGACGGAAGGAAAAGAGGGAGGGGCGCTCGGGGAGAGCGGAGGTCCGCATCGTCGGAGTCGGCGGCCACCGCGTCCAGCATGTCTACGTCGATAGGAGGGGCCGGAGGCGGGGAAAGGCGGGCGAACGGGGAGGACGAGGGAGACCGGGGAGCAGGGGACGCACGCGGAGACCACGAGGCCCGGAACGAGCGGGCGAGGCGACAGGAACGGCGGCTGGCGCGGGGATGGGCGGAGCATCCGGGACAGGGTCGAAGGGGGACAGGACGGACTCGGCGACCTTGAAGTACGTACTGGCCCAGCGCGCTTCAGTACCGACGAGGAGGGCCGGGGTGGTGAGGTCTTCAACGAGGACCTCGAGGGTCCGCTGTAAACGGAGTCGACCTCCGCATACTCGTTAAGACGAGTCAGGAGCGAGCCGAGGGCGACGAGGGTCTCGGGGCGCATCTCAACCCGCGGGTGACCCTGCCCCAGCGCGTACTCCTGGTTCGCCAGGAAGATAGCCTGTAAAGAAGACGTCAGTGCGGCTCACGGGGAAACAGGAGAAAGGGGGGCTTACTCGAGCAAGCGCTACCTCGCGAGCCCACGAGAGCCATGCGGAACTCTCATCCGGAGGGGCGTCGTCGGACAGAGGGGGCTCGGCACGGGCGACGCAGACGATCCTCATCTCCAGGTTGACGAGGGTGGAGAGTGCGGCGAGCCGGAGGGAGTAGAGGCGATCCGGGAAACTGGACGCCAAGGCGGTGGCGGCATCGAAGGCCACAGCGCGGGCTTCAGGGACGGGGAGCGAGACATGGAGAGCAGAGGAAAGCGGGTCGACAGCGAGGAGAGGAGCAGGTGGTGGAGGATGCTGGCAGGCGGAGGGAGCACCGGAGGCAGCGATTTATACGCGGAGGTGGCCGCTGATGGCCCGGAGCCACACTGATCGGAGGGCCGATCGAGATCCCAGGCCACTTCTTCCCACGGAGGGAACGCGCCCGGCCAATCAGTCCCGGGAAGGTAGGCGGATGGCGAGCGAGACGGGCAATTCCGGCAGGGTCAGTGAAGGAAGGGACACGGAGGCGGGGATAAAGAGCGCGTACAACGAACACAGCAAACGGACCGGAGACGGCCTGACCGGGGACGGTCAGAATTTCAGGTGGGGGGAGATGTGGGGAAGCCCCACAGAGCAGGCCCGGAACCAACGGATATAGGGCACACGACCACAGGAGACAACAGACGACGTTACACACGGAAGGAATGTCGAAGGATAGGTTACCCAGGCAGCACGACCGGAAAGCAACTCGGTAGGGCAACCGGAGGCAGCCGTGGACGGCACCGGAGGGTACAGGAACGAACTACCCCTCACGCACACTCTCCCCCTCATCCATTAAATCAGTCTCGGTCTCAGTTTCGACACCCGCATCCTCGAAGTCGTCACTAGTACGCGCCGGAGGGAACTGAAGGCGACGCGGAATGCCGGAATAGTCAGCGTCCGGAACGTACACGCCACGTGAAAGACGATCATGCACGCCGGCAACACTGGACGCCAGGGCGGAGAGAATACGGCGGGTGTGTTGGGCCTCGGACTGAAAGGAGGCGGATGCGTCACGTTGAACGGTAGCGTAACGCTGGAGCTGGGAGATGAGCGCGTCGAGGCCGTCGGAGGAAGCCCGGAGGGGGGAGAGCTGCATGGGCCTCTCGAGGTACCGGACCGGGAGCAACGGACGGCCCACTTCGACATCGGACTGCTCAACAGCGACGCGGTTGGCGGACCAGGCGATAGCAGGGTACGGCTCGCCAATGACGCTATGCTCGGACGCGATGGTCGAGAACACCTGGTCAAGGTAGTCGATCAGTTCCTGGACGTCGGAGAACCGGCGGATGAGAGGGAGGGACGCGTCGCCATGCGCGGTAGCTCGCGCCCGGGAGTCGAAGAGCATGCGCTACGTACCGGAAGGAGGATCAGCCCGCCGGACGGGGAATAGACGAGAAGAATATCACCCACGATGATCCAGCGGGCGCCGTGGGCCCAGGCCAACCATTCGGTAGGACTGTCAGCGACAAGACGCGGCTCGACGACTCGTTCATCCCGGAGGAGAGCGAGAAGACGGTAGAAGCGAGTGGAGTAGACGATGGCGGAGGGATTGGGTGGGGCATCGGACGGCATGGCACTGGACGGGAGACGGTAAAGGAAGGGAAGGAGGGGGCTTAAGAGGGACCGGAGGGAACGGGTGAGTACGGAGAAGGGTGCCAGCGAGGCGGGGGCGTGGGATAGCGAGCCGGAGGGGACATAAGGGAGGGAGCCGGGGACCGGACGGGGAGAGATCCTACCTACCTACCACCTAGGAGTAGAGAGCGAGCTCAACGGCGATTCCCTGCGTTTCTGACTGCGTCCTGCGTTTACTGCGTTTACTGCGTTGCGAATAGATCACTGCGTTCACCTTCAACGAGCACCGCGTTTCCTTCCGGCTCTCTGCGTTTTATCCGGCTTGAACGAGTTTCTACGCGTTCACTCTGAGTCCCTGCGTTGTGGGACGACTCCACCACTCTCCTCCGACCGCGTTACAGTGTCCCCTGCGAGTATCCGAGCTCGTACGTCCCCTCCGGGCCCGAATCGTCACATCCCCTCCCCATCCGCTTGCCAACAGCCCCCGCCCGTCGTTTCTACCGACACCATCGATTCCTTCCGGTCTCTTTTCGACCCGGGAGACTCGCAACCTACACATCGCGTCCGAACGCACTAGGTCTTCAGGTATGTATGCTCACTAGGTTACCATTACCGTGCTACGCGTGCTCATTAGAGGATGTCTGATCCATCGCGCTGCAGGCAGAGGTTGAGGCGAGCTCACCACGCGCGTGCACGTCTGATTGTATCCTCCGCATGTAAGTCTCGATTGGCTCTCATGTCGACTTCTCCTACCTAAGCCTTGTACTCTTCAGCGTCATTTGCACACGATGGCGGACGCAAATCTCGACCGTCCTACAGGTACCACTGACTTCGTCCTGAGTGTGACGCCCCGCGAACGTACGTGATTTACGACGCTGACTCCGAACTTGGCTTACCGTCCTGGATGGCAGAATGGCGCCAGCCCCTTAAACCGACTGATGGGTTATGTGCCGCCGACGCCGGCGACAGCTGCAATATCATTACGACGCCATACGCCAACTGGATCCCGGAATTCCCGCGGATTTCGGGACGCAATATCGTCACGTTCGAGGACGGCCTATGGGGCCCCCAAGAATATACTCGGTGGCCGCAACTGTACAACGCGACCTCCATACATCATGCGTGCATCCCAACTAGAGAGTCGGGCTGCCGGGCTCCAGGGGACCAGGTCTATGACGGGTTCGGATACTATGCTTGGGAAGAAGACAAGTCTTGCGGCGTATCCGCCTTCGGGTTCTTGAACGCGGACGTACTAGGAGAGCTGAGCGCCATTGCGACTCGAGTGATTGCTCAATACGATGACGCGGAATGCTCGGCACAGAATCGCGACCGGCTCGCATGGTTTGGACAGTCCTTGATGGATATACGACTGGGTACGGTTCTCTCCGTGCTATTAAGGAATGCGGTCGATCGGCTCAAAACGCTGCCTACTACTCGCCTACACGCCCTCGTCACCGGCCGCCTGGCGCACCGCCTCATCTTGGAGCTCTGCGGCCTCACTATCTATCACAACGAGGTCGCCCCGCGTATGGCAGACCCAAAGTCTCAACGTTACCGCGCCTTGCCACTTCTCGGGGCCTTCGTGCGCTCGGTGCCTGCGGCCCAGCTTTTGCATCGCCTGGGGATACCCTTTTGGCTCATACAGCCATGGACACGCGACGTCGTCATACAGAAGGTCGTGGAGCCCCGCATGTGGTCAGACACGCTCAACTCGAGCCCAGCGTGGCCCAGAGTCCCGAAGTCATGGTACGACCCCGACGGAACCCATCAGGATCCCGGCAAGTGGACGCAGCCATCGGTGTTGTTTATTAGCAACCTGGTGTGCTCGTCCGCGTTGCCGAAGCTACACGCTGTGGCTCGCACGGAGGGAGCCGAGCGAGAGGCGAAGCGTTGCAAGGGAGACGATGGTGCCTTTACCGTGATACCGAAGGCCCAGAACGTGGGCCCAGCTACGCACAACAGCAAGAAAAGGGGACACAAATCTCGGGGGAAGCGCTCTGGTGGAAAGCCGTCTGAGCCCCACCCAGCCACAACCTTCCAGCCACCCAGCCCTGACGTTGTCGAGCTGAGCCCGAGCTGGCGCACCGCTTTGACCGGGGTCTCTCCCTTGCCGTTTCCTCCCCCGGTCGCTCTCGAATACTATCTGCCGCCGCCTTTTGTGATCGACAACGCGAAGACGAACAAAGCCCGATACCTCCATAACTTTGCCCGGATATGGCAGTTCTGCAAGCTCCGACTCATTGACTCTTCGATCGACGGGGCGCCATTGCGAATCGCCGAGTGGCGCCACGCCCTTTACGGAGATTATAACTGCGATGCCATCGAAGAACGTCAGCAGAAGAATACCAAGCAGGCCATCGGACCTCAATCTGATCGGTTGGGGAATGGTCTAGCCCTCGACCAAGGGCCGTCGAACAGAGACGCTCAGAGCGCTTCAACGGCAGGGCACCGCAAGCCGGAGTGGCATGTTGAACGACGGGAAGCTGTCCGCGCACTGTTTGCGAAGGGCGGAGGCTTGGTGTCCTACACAGACACACAACGTGCGATGTACCGAGGTGTCGAGGTGAGCCTTGACCGGGCAAAAACCGACGAGGAGTACCTTCGCCTCGTCATTTGGGAGCTTTACGAAGCCAATTGGCGCTGCGAACTCAGAGCGCTCGACAGCCGCCTGGTCGATTACTCGGGCGATGTGTTCCGCAAGTGGGAGCGCGAACAGGTCGTTTCTAGTGTCTGGCATACGCCATCCCAGCACTCCGCCGTTACGACGGTTGACGTAGGCGAGCCCGTGTATTGTTGGATCACCGCTGGTCAGGACGGCTGGCTGGGTCGTCGCGCAAACTTACGTGCCTTCGTGGACGTCATGAGTTTGTGGCCCAATTTCCCGGAGTCCTTACGGGCTGACAAGGACGCTATCGCGACGTGTGAGAAGACGCATGTCTTCGATGATATTGAGGTGCGAGCGATCCGGTTCTACGTACAGACCTTCACCGAACAGTTCCATCGCCTCCCCTGCCCACCTGTACGCCTCGTCACCACTCCGCTCCTGTCATGTACCGTGTAACAGTAGAACGAACGTGCCAATAAAGTCAACCTTGATCGCGACCCCTCGTGTGGACGGCAGTGTGGCGCGCGGTGTACCACGCTTTGACATTTCACGGACCCCTGAGTGGCTTTGTCGTGTCTTTGTTTTCATTTGCTAATGTTCGCCGCTTTCGTCCAGATGTGGCCTCCGAGATTGGTGGCGAAAATCTCACATAAAAAGTGTCGACCTCACCACTCATACCCTCTCCCGATCACCGACTACCCTCACTATGACGAAAACCGGTGCCGCGCCCAAGTGCCTCGCTTGCGTTGTTGACCCGCGCAAGGGCATCAACCAGCACCAATGGCTCGTGAACAAGATGGTGGCCGCTTGGAGGGACGCTGACCCGGACGCCGAGTACAAGGCTGTGGCCCAGGACGTCGCCATCGCCTTCGATCAAGAATTCGATCCCCAAATCCTCAAACCTGTGTACAAGAAAGGCAAATTTCAGGGTTACGAGACAGAAGAAGCGCGCGCAGAGCGGTGCGATGGAAGGCCGGGGGTGAGTCTCAACGTTCTCTATTCTATGCGACGCTCAGACGTCATCCACTAGAGCATTCTTCGGTGGGCTCAGAATCATAAGGACTGGATCGACGCGCAGAGGAACATGGCCCCTGCGCTACTTCGTTTCCAACCACAGCCTCCCGCGAAAGGCCGGCGGTCGCGCGCGTCGAGTGCGCGCGACTTATATGTTCGGGACCATCCTGGCATTGGCAAAGACGTTGTTGATGCTCAAGGCAAGCTTGCCCCAGGTGACCGAAGGACGGCGTTGAATGTGGCTATCTCCGCCATCATCGAGGAGGTTAAATTGACCCAGCCGGACGTATGGCAACGGTATGAAGAAGCCTCGGCAAGGGAGAAGGGTGCGCGTGCGTCTCGTGTGGCAGGCGCTGAGGAGAGTGAAGGGGACGAAGAAGGACAAGAGGATGAGGAGGAAGAGGCACCTATGGAGCATGAGTGAGTGCTGGTGTTCTCCCCAATGCGTTCCCTCGCTCACACTCTTCAGTCTTCTCGCTCGGCTGCGCCTGAGCATGCGCACCGCCATTGATTCATGGGTTGAACAAACTGGCGCCGAGATCTTTGTGTACATGGGAAAAGTGCGAGACGACGGAACGTCTAACCGCAGTTTGTAAGTATGCTACATTGTTGTCTGTTTGTTTGGGCTCACTAGCTCAGGATGAGTGCCGGAAAACGAGGGCGCGACCACCTTGCCCAGCGGGTCGTCGCCCAGCCCCTCATCAAGACGCTGGATGACTACGTGCTCGACACGGGTGGTCTCACACCCCGTGCGGCCAACCCATCCGCTCCTCGGCCAGCCACACAGGAGCGCGTTGTCGAGCCTCTTCCCGGTGCAGGCCCTGATACTACCGGGGACCCGGAACAGATTTCAGGCGGCCCTCAACCCGCGCGGAACGTTTCTCAAGCCTCACCAGATGTCCCTGTGTCATCGGAGAGAGTACTACGGGTGGAACACCCTGCAGACGGCAATGAGGTGGGTCGGCCTGTACTCAATAGTCACCCCCGAGATCCTCAGCCCGATCAGAGCTCAGGCAGAATCCTGCTCTCGCAGGACGTACCTCAACAACCGCAGGGCGTAGCTCCAGCCCTGCGCGTCGTCGCACAGCGACAGCGGGACGTCGCCGTGCCGTCGGACGAGGCAATCGTCCAGGTGGAAGAGCCCGCAGCTGGCAATGCCGACACCGAAGAGGCCATTCGTCATCCGCCCGACGGTCGCCTTGAGGCGCCACGGCCATCCGTAGAACATTCACCGGCTGAATGCGGTGTCGACGTTGAACAGGTCGATGACATCGCACGAGCTGCTGGCTCCGAGCCGCTGCCGCTGCAAGACGGGTCCAACGACGAACCAGCGATGGTCAACGAGCGACCTGAGCTAAGCCTCGATGTCGAACAACCCGATGGCGTCCGGCGAGCCGTGCTCGCCGAGTCGGAACCGCTCCAAGGCGGATTAAGTGACGAACCAGCGGCTGAGGACGACGGAAAGGTGAGTCATGTACTGCGTTCTTCGAACAGCACGGAGGCTGATTCTGTTCAAACCACCAGCGAATCGATCAGCAGGGTGAGAAGATGGCAGACGATCCCGTCCAGCCCGCGCAGGACGATGCGCACGTACCTGGATCCGCAACCCACTCGGACACTTCGCCTCCTAGTGACGACGAACCTCGAGCCCAGACCAAGGCTTCAAAGGGGGTCAGAAAGGGTGCGTCGCGTCGGGGACGAGGTCGCAAACCGAAATCAAGTGGGAGTCGTGCCACTCTTGTGGCCCCGGAAGACGAGCGCCGCCCGCCATCGCGTGGACAAAAGAGGCCAAGCCCCGAGGAAGCAGAAACACCGGAAGAGCCCTCGGGTCGTCCGAAGAGAGCGAAGTAAGTCCATTATAGGAAGACCTTCACTCGCTGACCTCGCATTGCAGGAAACAGGATTATGCGTCGCTTCATCGAAAGGGTAAGTAGGTTTTCTTGATGAATGACTTCGTAGCACTGTAGCCATGTAGCAAACGTGCGACATTGTGTCTAGTGTGTCTAGTGTACCAAGTTCAAGACTGTTATTAACTCGTTGCGACGTCGTTCAAGTCCGTTTGATGTCGTTGCGATGTCAGCCTGTAGTCCTGCTCCCGACGCTTTGACCCTCGATCCTCTTGCGCCACACCTTTGGCCGGTAGGTCCAAGCGAAGCACACCACTGGATGACCTTCACCGGGCCAAGGCTCGCTTGGCTCTTTGTGGCTTCGTCGCAACGCCATTCATCTTGTCGCCAAGCGACTAATGGCAGATCGGGGAGGCGAACAATAGGGAGGCTAGGGGTATAAAAGGTGAGCACCGTTCACGCACACCCACACACTCTCCTCACTCTCGCCTCCATGTCCCACTTGCAAACTCCCCGGGGCCACAAAACCCGCTCGTCAATATCACGAGCTCTTCTTAGTCCGGCCGGTGGCCTCGGCACGCCCCGCCATACTAAGACGACACCCAACGCTTACAACCGAAAGCTCAAGCTGTTCGCCGCGGAACTAGCACATCCGCAACTTGATTTCGACGTCTGCAACCACGGTCCATCGGTCCAACTCCAGTACTGTCGTGCAAATGACGTCAATGTCGGACGCCTCTTCACCACGGTGAGTAGCCTCACGAATGTGACCAAGGATATGTTTTTCTCAATGCAACTACAGTGTGCCACATCCGGTTGCCCCCTCCGCGGGTTCAGATACCTGAGTGACCGTCTTAGCGACGCCGAACGAGACCTCATCGAGCGCATGCGGGTCAACGTCTCAGACTTACGAGATGTACACAAGCGTCGTAAGGCATTGACAGACCGGCGAGACTCGCATGATGCGGCGACGGTTGAAGACCTCGACGAACAGCTCCGACAGGTCGCCGATGAGGAAGCCCGCCTCGACAGAGACAGCACCGATCTGGTCCGACGTGCCACTCTCCTCCGCGAGCAGCGCGTCGTCCCAGCTCCCCAAGTAGCCAATGCGGCTCTAACTGCTGTGGCACGCCGTCCTGGAGCTGCCACCGCAACTCGTGACGTTGTGGCTGTGCGGCAACCACCCTCACACTCTCCCCATGCCGCCAGCTCCCCGCCCTCTCGACTCACTGCCTCCACCGACTCGGACGTGGAGATCGTCGATGGGCCTCTGCAAGCCCCTCGCAAAACCCCTCAGCGCCAGCGCAGGAGCAGTGCGTCGAGTCGTATTCGCGGCCCGCTCAGCCGCCCCCTCGTCGCCCCTTCTCAATCCAACCGAGCCACGGCGTCGACCAGTGCACGCACGTTGTCCGATGATTCGGACATCGAGATACTCCCTGGGCCACCCCTGCCACCCCATACCCCACGCCGCACACAGCGCACACCATCCGATACGATCGAACGGTCGGACTCGGACAACGAGTCTGAGGCATCCGCGGCATACTGGGCCAACGTAGAACCACCGTTGCCGGCTCTTCTGCCCGCTGCGTCTCAGGCAAACGCTGCCATTCCCCTTCATCGTCGCCTCTCTCGTCACCTGCGTCTGTCTCGTCTCGCAACGGTGCGTTGTGCAATCGAGGGCGCGCGACCGACGCGAGGCTCATTCGCGCCACGATCGCTGTCGACGCCGCGTCCGAGGACGGCTCCGACACGGATTCCTCGATTGATGGAGACGGACCTGCAGTGCCTACGCCCGTCGCGTCGGACGCCGGAACGTTGTTAGTGAGCAAACCGTTTTGCGTCGCTATCTATGCCTACAACGAGGTTAGTCATTGGTCACTTATGTGATTGTTACTCGCTGATCCCCACTTTACAGGAAGGTCTGCAGCCGGACGTCTTCCTCTTCGACAAGCGTGGTCGACAGAGCTTTACGTCTGTCTGCACAAGGTACGATTTGGATCTCGTCGATCCCATCGCACTGTGGATTGGCCTGAAGCGGGCGTGGCGCTTTGTGCATGTCGAGAACATCGCCAACGTCGTGTTCGGCTTACGCGAAGGCGATTACATTGTGTGGGTGAAGTGGGGACTTAGCAAGCTCCCGTTAATCCACGAGGTTACAGGTGAGTTGGAAACGAAGCAATTGAAATGGTATGCTGATGGCAATGAAGGTGGTGTGGCTCCCGAATGGCCGGACCGCGAGACCATTTGGGAGGATAGGCAATCTATCTTCGAGGAGCTCGACCCGGAACGCCGACGCTTTGAAGAAAACAAGCTTCGCTTGTAGAAAGGGTTTGCACGGACTTATGTTCTTGGTTGGTACTGATGTGGGACTTATAGTGGGCTTAATAGGGAGACCTGTACTGCGCCGAAGATAGTTGTAATTGATACGTTTTGAAGCCCTAGTATTAGTAGGACTTTGTAGGGTCATTTGTAGCCCAGTTGTAGTGGCACCCCATAGTGGGGCTTAATAGGGTTAAGAAATTTATTGTATCTTGTGTGTACAGCCCGAGTTCGTGATCAAAGTATGTTGATTGGACCAAAGTATCTTGCTCGGACCAAAGTATCCTCCACTCCAAAGTATCTTGCTCGGACCAAAGTATCTTGCTCGGACCAAAGTATCTTGCTCGGACCAAAGTATGTTGGTCACATTACTGTATGTCCCTTCGCACGAAAGGTATCTTGGATCGACTGTTGGCTAAAATTAGTAGGGCATTACCCGCAGCCAAAATATGTTGCTCCGGGCTAATAACCGGGCTAAAGTATCTTGCCAACTGAGGTGGCTCCGTGCCAACAGCCAGACGTACCCGCAATGAATAAATATCGTCTTGGTGGTCGACGGCTACCCCTTGAGACCAGTGCAGCGTTCACGCTTCGAATGCCACTGTATGCGACTCAAGGAAAAGGGGAGGGAGGGGGAGGGAGGAGAGCCACGGATAGCGGGAGCGGCAAGCAGCGGATAGGGAGCCATGCCGGGGACCGTAAATCTGGGACCGTAAAGCTGGCAGCTCGCGCAGTGTGAGCAGAGGGATTTGGCGGAGGTGCCCGCCAGAAAGCACCCCCTCCTCAACCGTCTTCAGACCGCTAGATTTGCGGTCCCAAGGTGCGAAATTTGCGGTCCCCCGCGCCTACCCGATTTGGATGAGCGCCTCCGGCCTTGTTTGCCAAAGCGGCCTGCCTCGTTGTCGGTTATGGCCTCGAGGCGCAGGGCGGGCGGCCTTCTGTCTCGCGGAGGCGGTGAAAATCGTGGGTCTCGAATCGAGCGTGTATTGCGCTCAGAGGCTCTGTCTACGACATACACCGCACCGTTCCCTCGCGTTCGACCAGCCTACCTGGCTCTCATTGGCCTTGCATCCTCGCGCCGCACCTGCTGATCCCATTCCCGTCGGCGGGACATCCACCTGCCCCTGCTCTCCTCCTCGTCGCGCGCCCCGGGGTCCCCGCTCCACTGCGCCACGGAACGCGAGGTGCCCAGACCGGCTCTTTCCCGACTTGCCTCCGCTCCCGGCAGCCGCCCTGGGCGCTTCCCTCGCACTTCCCTTGCCTCGTACCGGGACCGTCAATCTATCGGGTCTCAGTGCTACTTCCTCAGCCTCACCACACGTGCACCGCTCGGCCCGGGACTTCCGAACAAGGGCTCACGACTTGTGGTGAGGACTGGCACAATTGTCCCTTATGTCAGCAAAGAAGCATCAGGCCGCTCGCTGCCGGGTCGGGACCTGGTCTGTGCCAAGTGATGGCCTTGCCCAAATCGAGCAGCCTTGAGATCCTGAGATCGCTCGTGGGCCCGCCCGCCCGACGCGACGCGACGCGCCCCACCGCGTATCCCTAGCCGTCGTCGGCGTTGCGACCGCCATTTCGTAGTACCTACCCAAATATATATCTTTTTCGTGCACTCGCAGTCTGTCGCAATCCAGGATGGACGCTCTCCTCGCCCAGTTGGGTGTGATTCTCTACCAGAATCAAACATCACTCCCGCACATACTCGTGTATCTAGTGCACGAGAACCCTGCGCATCCTATGGCCTACGGTCTCCACCAGTATCTCCCAACAATTTTGGACATGTTCCTCCAGAGCCCGTCCGCGGACGTGCTGCGGCAGTGGGCGGAAAATACTATGGCTTGCGCATACAAAACCGAGGTAGTCAACCTATCGCAGTCGGGCAACTTACATTTCCTCGCGAGCGCAGCTTCACCGGAGAAGCTCGAAACGTTCACAATTCGCCAGCTCGCAGGCGCGATGCAGAAGCACGCGCCCTTCCTCTGGCGCTTATTCGATGTAGCATCAGCAAACTGTGCAATTTCTGAGGGTCTGGGTGACTGACAGACATTGCTCAGAGGGTCAGTGGCACTCAGTGCATCACAGATGCCCAGCTATATCAGACACACCCAGCTATATCAGACAAGCCCAGACACTCTCAGATGATATCAGACAGTATGAAAACTAGCAGATACATTCATGTGAATGATAATCCCCGTACTTATTGACATAGAAAGACTCGAAGGCATCTAAGGTGTACGAAAAATGAAAATTGATCGGTATCGAAGTGTCCCCAAACACTGGCATAAGATGAACAGCACGAAAAATACTGTCCAAGTGTACTATAGACGAGGCTTGCTGTCCACTATCTGGATCTAATTCAGGCTCGACTACATACATACCAGTCACATCACTGGGATCCTCCACGACTTTATCGTACCAATCTATCAGTGCACAAGGATAACGAACACCACTATGGGTTATTACCATAAGACCCATCACCCGACCAACAGCCATTCCTTTCATACCAGGCTCGTTGTCATTGATGTTGATGAGGACCGTATCAAATCGAGGACGCCCACGCCAAGACGGATTCGCACGTATGAGTTCACGGTGCATACCACCATCGCCAGAGAGCTCGCTCGGGGCGTAGAATGTTGCATGTGCTGTGCGATAAACAGCGATCTTGCCGAAGACCTGGGGGCACTGTGATACATCGACCATACTCGAGTCGATGTCATCAGTCGCATCGACCTGATCAAATAGGAAGCGGCGAACGAGATCGAGGAGATGAGGCTGATTGTACTCTTCAGCGAGCTCATTGACGCGCCGCATGTAGACTACACGCCAGACGGCAGCAACCACAAATATTAGTGAGTGATATGATGGACAGCATGCTCGGACGTCGACTCACCTTGCCGCTTCGGAAGCTCCACAATACCCTGACCATATCCATCTACATCCATGGCCTCGTCCTCCGCCTCCTCCAGCTCGTCCGCGAGAAATTCAGCTTCAGTGACTGGTGGTCCGAGGTTCATCGCATCAGCAAGCACATCACCATCGAGCATGTGGTGATTGGTAAAGCACGAACGCGCTGCGGCGAGCTTGTCGAGGCGCTGATTCGTCCGGAGCATTTCGAGTAGAGGATTGTTCCTGCTCGAGGTTCGCCACGGCTTCTTCACGGCACGAATATGTTTTGATTCCGTGATCGACGAGCAGACGCCGTTCGGAGAGCCGAAGAGTCGTATGCCGGCGATGTAATGGACAAGGGCGTGTTGTCGTGGGAGCGAGAAGCCGTCAGGGCGGATACCGAGAGTCTCGAAGATGACGCGGTGGGTGTGGAAGCGATCCAACGCTTCCTGCATCGCCGCGAGAGAATTGTCGTCGTGAGCAGACCGCCTTGCGAGATAGCAGAAATCAAGGTAGGCGGCGAAGCAGCGAACCATGCCGTCGGGCACATGCCCTTCGATGGCTGGGAGGTACACCTGAAACCGAAGCAATGTAATGAGCAATGATCCAAGAATTTGTGAGCGTGCACTCTCACCTTCATGAGGGCCTTCGAGTCATTTCCTGTCCACTGCTTGAAGTTCCTCCCCTCAGGGAACCTCCGGAGACCCGGGAACTGAGGCGCGGCAGCTATTCTTTGTTTGCCATTGACAAGAGATCAGCTCGGAACATGCCATAGCGCCCGAAATCTCCTACCGGCGATCTATATCGTCCATGACACGACGCGCGTCGGCCTTCGAATGGACAAGGTACAGGTACTTCTCGACCCAATCGACGAGATGGTCTTTGAAGGTCCCTTTGATGAGTTGATGTAGAAGATCGGGCGTGAGCAGCTCGTGGATGTCGGCGCGGGGAAAGTGTGCCGTGAAGGGCTATACAAATGATAGCATTCTATCAGTGCTGCAACATCGGAAGCACAAACACGATCTTACGATCACATTGATATCGAATCCCCACGTGCCCCAGATTGTCTCGGCATCGAACATACGAACCAAGTTCTCGGTGTGTTCGAGGCAGCGCGGATCTCCACCACCTCGGTGTAGTTCTTCCGGAGGGAGCAGACATCTGTCATTGGTCAGAAGTAGATAACATGAGACGACAGTATGCTTACTTCGGGCACCATCCACTCACTATGCCCGACAGAACGACTTGTTCGGGGTAGTCAGCAATGAAGGGGCCGAGCTCGTAGATGACCCGTCGAAAGTGACTGTCGGGGCAGCGGACGACATCGTGTGTCTGCATGTATGGCCGGAGAGGCGCCATGACGTGCGCAATTGATGCGTGGTATAGCTGCTTCCGGAACGTTCGGAATTCGTCGGTCTCAGTCTCGCCTCGTGCAGCTGTAGCACAGTGAGTATCAAGATATGTACGCCCTCAAGATAGCCCATTGACGAACCTTTCGGTATTGCCAGGAATGCGATTGGAATGATCGCGTCTTTATGTGCGCGTCGCAGGGGATTGTGTACGTTCCCCAGCGACATATACAGCGGGTGGAACTCTTGATGTCCTGTACCAACCGAGACGGTTGTTTTGTCGGCACCAAGGATGACGGGCGAGAGCATCGACCCATGGGTTGCCGGGTCTTTGGCAATCTTACTCTGCGAAGTGGTAACTAAGTTCGCAGCAAGTAGGATACACAACATACACCATGTACCGCTTGTTTGTACGCCCACTGCCCCGACATGACGTTTGAAAACCGGGTCACACCAGCCGCCGGATACTCCTGGTAAGGTGTCGTGTCGAACTTGCTGTTGTAGTCTTCGTTCCCTATCATGTTGTGGGCGACCTGTCGCGCATTGCGGCAGTGGACTACATATTCGGCCTGCTTCCAAGATGGTGAGTCTTCGTCAATGGGCCCTGTATAGCGAACAACGAACGACTCCCACGGCGCGTCTCCAAACGGAATCACATCTATCACTTGATAGAGGTCGTCTGCGTCTTCAAATGGTGGGTCGCCACCGCCTTGAGTAACATTGTATGCTGCTATGGTTCGCATCAGGTCGTTGATGCTTCCTTGCGACACCTGCATCTTCGTGAATACGAGCTCAGCGAATTGAAATGCCGATCGGTTCTCGAATGGCGCGTAGGACTCGACTGGTTCTCTGGCGGGAGGAGGCGCATTTGGTGGTAGGAACTCGCCGTCCTGATCACAAGGTCGACCTGTACAAGTCAGCTAGGCTCGCACATGAGCTGGTCTACAGCACATACCGTCAAGATGCGGGTGATACCGAAAGTTTGACCTCGGTGCTTGAGGTTTGGGTTGCCGGTGTTGACGTGAATTATGGCCAGCAAAGCCACGTCGACTCGGAAAAGACTTGTTACAGAGAGTGCACCAGTAAGCATGAGGACGGGGCATGATGGTGGTCAATCGCAGACGGAGTAGATTACGATGAGTAACGTCTCGTACAAAGCTACACACACAAGCAAATACGGCACAAATACTTACCTTTGTTACGTGGCTTACACGCTCTCTCGTGGCACGTTAACTTCGGATAACCGCTTTCCCACCACTGTCTTCTCTTCCGTCGTCCTCTGCACCTTTGTCTGTTGTATCCAACTGGCGACTACGACTTCGACTCCCCTGCTATTTGGCTGACCTGATGGCGCCTGCTTCAGGTCGGCTGCGGCGGTCAAAACAAGCTGCATATGACTCGGACGAACCTACTGAGTCTGCAACTGCTGCGGACACGTCGCCTTCGGGAGCAAATCCGGCGCCATTGGCGACCGAAGGCGGAACCAACGATAACGTTGAGCCGACACGCCGGTACTCCACGCGTTTGACCAATGACCCACACCCGGCTCTTTCTGCTGGATTTGGTAAGCGCACACAGGCTGAAGTTAAGAAAGACGCACGCAAGAAGAAGCTTCAGGTGGCGGCCGAGGCTGATCGCCAGGAGGCTGAGCTCGAGCAACAGGACCTTGCTCTAGAAGACCACACGGAGACGTTAGCAGAGGTCGAGGAGGACTTGAGGGCACGTCGAGAGGAGGAGTCAATCGAGAACATCTTCGCGGAGGAAGATGCTAGCAACAATGCAGGTGAGTGTCTTCATTACAAGCATCGAACGGATCACTCACTTCCTTGAGTCCAAAGACGACGACATCATTATGCAAACGGCCAAATCCGACTCCAACTCTGATGAAGATGCCGACTACAAGGAGGATCAGAGTGAGCATGGCGAGTCAGATGAGTCCCCTCTGCAGTCAGAGAGCTCGGACGACTCCGAAGATGATGGCGCTATCACTGGTACAAAGAGGAAGGCGAGTAGCAGGTCGAAGAAGGTGAGCATCAGCGAAAGAACATACCTGACGGACAGTTGATGCTACAACTGCGGAAACAGACGAATGCAAAGAGAAAGAAGTCGCAGAAGGAGCTCAGACAGGAGCTTCTGGACCAAGTGGAGAGCGCAAAGGAGAGGCTGCGTGCACTAGACTCGGACGCAGCAGTACAAGCACGAGTGAGCTCGAAGGCTGGCTCGAAGGGACGGTACGCACATTTTCGTGAGATAAGATCGGATGTCGATCTAATGCCTACATCAAGCGCCTCGGCGTCCACCGCAAAAGCGACCTCTCAGCCCCGCTCCACTGGCAAGCCAACATCTGAATCTACGGCTACGAAGAAGTCGACGCCTGCAAAGAAAACTACCACTACGAAGAAATCTACGAGTACTAAGGCTAATCTACCCAAGAAGACATCTGCACCGCCTTCACTCTCACTCGACCTTCCAAACTCGAACATGGGCCTGAAAGCGGACTGGAAAGCCGCTGTCGCACGTCATTCGCAAACGCCATCTCGGCCTCAGGCAAAGCCAGTATCTGCGGCTGCGAGATCAGCGTCACCTGCGACATCCAGCCAGGCAAGCACTCCAACTCCGAAGCACTCTGCTGCTGCTCACCGAGCAGCTAACACGAAGCGCGCGCACCGTCGAGATTCGCTCGAGCTTGTCGGTGGGTTTGCGGACGACGATGTCACCGTCAGCTTCACCGGGTCCACAAAACGTGGATACTCGCAGATGGCGCAGGTCATGACGCAGGAGAGCTCCAACGAGGGCCAGCAGTCGACCAGCGCGAAGAAGAAGCGGCGCGTGAAGACAGCTGTCCCGGACGAGAAGTCGCTCTCAGTCCAATCCTTACCCGCATTCATACAGCCGCACTGGAAGTCGACGTTCGTCCCTACAATGATTCAACTTATCGGTCAAGACGAGCAGCCATGGGTGTATGCAAGTGGTAAGAACTCAGCTGAAGACAATCTCCTTGTCGAGCTCGTGCAGCGTTTGGTGAACGGATTCTGGCCGGAAGAGCATTACGAGGTTGACGGCTCGGATAAGGTCTACCGTATCGTGAGCACGATTCATGCATGCGGTGTCGAATGTTACTCACTGATGGATGTGACAGGCGCGGCAGGCGGTCAATGACTGGCGCGCACGTTTCGTGTCTCGCATCAAGACCTTCGTCAGGAATGAGTTGAGGAAGCAGGGGTCGGCGGAAAGAATCAGGGTGTTCGTCAAGGGAGCATTGGTGAAGAGTACGGGGTTGGCATTTTGGGCGATGTATGACGCCGATGTGAGTCTCCTCTGCCTCACGTTTGGTTTGTCTGATCATGTATTGCTAGGATGGTTGCGCCACGGGAGCACTCCAGTCCGCATATGTGTTGAAATCGTTTGCGACGCACCTCGCAGCGATACAGGGAAGTCGTCTCAAACCTACCGATGTCACGCCCGCACGTGGTGCACTTTCACTCGCGGCTACTGCGGTACTCGTCTCTCAGCATCATTCTGAACACTCGCTGACAAAAACCGCTTCTGGCAGGTGCAATATGTATTCAGCGCGTGGCAGAACGGAACCTTCGACACAGCAATCAAGTTCAGCGGTGATCACTTCCGTGGCACCACGACTTGGTGGCATGAGAAATCCGTCGACAAGATCATCTCGCGCGGCCGCTACAACAAGTACGTTGACATGGCCAATAAGTACATTGATGCTGGGTGGGCACCGCGCGTCGTGGACGACGAAGATGATGTCTCCGTCTGTGATCCGAGCAGCCCGGTACAATCTGGTAATGAGGGCGGTGTGTTCGATTGACCATTGTATGCACCTACTAGGCTATGAATAATCACTGTCACGCGCTATGCGCTCTGTATACAAACACATTCCTTACGGATCTACTTGTCTCTCAACAGCTGAGTTCATTGTATATACTACACTACGTATTCATCTACCAGTAGTGATCCAAATGCATTCATTCTGACTGAACTACTGAAGTCTGCCATACTGGATTAGCTGAGCACGTCTGAGAAGCTGATAATATCTGACGTGTCGGACACTGTCTGAAAAACTCGGTCTGAGCAAGAATATTCAAAATTTTGCGAGGTCATGAGGGCTGACCATTTGAAGCCTACTGATGCAATCTGAAGCCTTCTGAAAGCTTCTGCAGCCCCTGACGGCACCGTCAGACAGTTTGCATGATTTCCTGATGCTACTGCTCGACGCGGACAGCGAGCTCGCGAAGCTGCGCGAACGGCGACGTGCAAAACGCAAGGCAGCTCGCGCAGATAATCCCGCTAAGCGTCGAGCGGTCATTGAGCCGGGAGATGCTGATCTTGATGACGAAGACGAGGTGTATTGGGCGGAATTTGATGTTTTTGAGGAACTCTTGCTTTGTGATGAGGAAATGCGGTCTTCGTATGGCGTGCCCGGACTGGCGGGTGGGCCCGCCGATGCTGTGGTACGCACGGCTCGATCAAAGCCAGAGAGCTTACGAACTGTGGTATGTGTAATAATGCTGTTAGTGTGAGATTGACGAGAAGACTAAGACGCACATTGACAGCGAAAAGTATCGCTTTTGAGCATGCTAGCGAAGAGCACGAATCAGCAATGCAATGCACTCGGTAGCATTATCGGTGTATTCTTGCATGTGTGTAATGCACCGGATCGCGTCGTCGAGATGCTCTCGCAACTCGGGCTGTCTATCAGTCCATCGTCTATCAACAACACTGTCAGCTCTCTCGCCCGTAAAGCCGAGATGAAACACCAACAAGTCGGACAGCAGTTCCTCACTGCATATGCCTACGACAACTTCGATGTTGCATTCAACGTCAGAACACCCACAGTTGACGGAGGTGACAGATCTCTCGCGCACCTCACATCGGCAACTATGATACCTCTCGCGCATGGAGTTCAGGTGGAGGATCTTCAGGTTTCCGATGAGCTGTGGTCAAATAGCAGATTCAATCTCAAGAGAAAGCCTCAGGAGAGCGGCGCCAGCAACGAGCATACCTTGGATTCCGATGACCTCCGTTTGCTCGATCTACATCCGGATGACTCTGTCCATTCATCCGGTCTTAATCGGCGGCAGCGCGTTCAATCATGGCAGTTCGTACACGACCTCCTCGAGCATGGGCCTTCCTATTTCAAGAAGTTCCGCAATGAGCATGTGGCACATCCTCCCGAGGCAGTCGAGCAAATTCCAGTCACTAAAACACGGCAATACCCTCTGCGAGCCATGAACATCAACAAATCGACGAACCAAGGCAACACCCAAGCCATACAAGAGGTACTCTTTCAGGGTGGCGTCGGTGATCCGGAGGAGGCGAAGGGCCAGGTCATTGAAGTTCATCAGGAAAAAAGTTTCGGGGCCATAGCACACAGCCATCAGTATATACCCCCTGTAGACAGTATAGTACCACATAGCATAGCAGCCAACCATCATAGTATGTTGTAGGTCTATAATGACATTGCTTGACATGCTATAGGAATACACAATATCACGTCCCATCTATGGCCGAAAGATTGCACTATGTGTGTTGTGACCAATACTTGTAGTAATACGAAGGTGGACGTAGAATCATTGATTTATTCATGATGACTACAAACAACATGCAACAAGTACTCTACTCGAATTAGGTAACATAGAATAACGGAACGACGTGCCAGTAGTGCTCGTACACCGCATGTCGTGACAGCGCGGGGCTGATTAACCAGACTATCACGCGGTCAGTGGTCTAGAAAGTTTGCTAACAGCGGGTGCAGCGAGCTCGTTGCTCATTGTACCATCTGTAAGTAGTGCTCTAGACATCAGTGCATCAAAACAGGGGATTGACGTGTCATGGCGAACATACTAGAGCTTGCACGCCACGAGAATTGATTGCACGTACCATCAAACTGTTGGTTCAACATCAACAAACTCGTGTGATTTGGTGTAGGAGGAGCAATTGGGCGGTGGTCCCGTTGATGAGCCCTTAGCTCACCTACCCACCGAAAACGCCATTTACGGTCGATACAACAGTACACTAAGTCCGTATGCTTGACGCGCTATCCGTCCGTTCGAGGGAACCGCCCGATGTTCGAAGCTCAAGCGTCCATGTTCGGCACCCTTAGCGGCGAAGTCATACGGTTTAGAAGAGTCACTACATTGGTAGGACTACGGGCAAGTACACGGCTAGGTCAAACTAACTAGTGACGGCCTCGGCAACTCTCGTATCTATGGCCTCGACCTCCACACCCATGACCACCACCCCTACCCCTACGAACAGACGGACCGGCGTCGAAGCTACGGTCAGTATTGACGCGCTCGAGCAGGCTTTCGAGCAACCCGACGAGGGTGCCGTGCGTGCGGCGCTGGTCGACTGCGATGTTGTGAATCGCTCGACCCATGGACTCGAGGTTGTCGGGCAGCTGGCGGAAGTCGGACAGGATCAACGTCTCGCGCTGATACTGCGGGTTCGCGAGAGGACGACACTTGGCCTGGTTGACTTGTTCGAGCAGCACCAAGGTCTCGGACCACGCGATCGTAGGGTAGGGCGAACCTAGGATGTCCCCCTGGTTGCCATCGCGGTGAAAGACCTCGTCGAGGTAACGCATCAACTCGTCGATCTCGGGGAACGACCTAGGAGCAGGAAGCGTATCGTTCACTAGCAGGATGGCCCGGCTGCGGGACTCGAACAAGAATCGCTGTTCGAAGGTCGGTTCGATGGTTCGAACGATAGTCTAAGTTCGGAGGCACGTACAATCATCCAACGGACTCCGTGGGCCCAAGCCAGCCACTCTCCGGGACTGTTGGCATCGTATCGCGGCTCGACAAGTCCCTCGGTCTTGAGGACCTCTAGGAGGCGGTAGTAGCGAGCAGCATACGCTTCGGAAGTTGGGTCGAGGTGCGGCATGTTCGTGTAAGTCAGGCAAACTACTGCAGCTGTCTCATATCTTCGAGGACTGTCACCGGCTCCGGTTATGACCTTCGCCGTTCGGGGACGGTCGCCCGTTATGCGGAACCTGCGGAAGGCCGAGTTGGATTCTCTCATGTGTTAGTAGGTCCGGGTCGAGTGTTGTGACATTCTCCGATTGGCTGCTTTCCTTATCACTTTCATTCATCATTTCTTATTTCTCTTGGCTCTCTTGGTCTTCGGACCGTATTTTCCTGTATATACTCTGGGACTTGTTCCCTTCGAATCGGGAGAGACCCCCTTACCCTCTCAATCTCACCTCGCACCGGCGAGGTTCGTCAGTCAGCCAGTACGTTCGAAGTCAGCAAGTTCGCCAGTCAGTCAGTACGTTCGAAGTCAGTCAGTCAGTTCGCCAGTACGTTCGCCAGCTCGTAGTTGCCCCGAGAGGCTCTACACTTCTTCTCCTGCCGTCGCTCGCCTTCCTTGTCACCGTTCGTTCGACACGTCTGTCGAAACTCCCCCTCCTACCTTCGAGGCTTAGACCTCGTCTTCGAACAGTCTTCGACATCTTCGAAGCTCTCCCACGTCGTTCGGAGTCTTGTCCGTCCTCCTCCTTCTTACCTAGACCACTGTACAGTCCCCCGTACATCTCATAGACTCAGAGGCCTCGCATACCACTGCTCGACCTCTCGGTCGGGTTTTTGTGTGGCTTTTGTGCTCTTTTCGGTCGCGTCACCGTCGCGCGCATGTTTGGTATCAAATGAAATGTCGGGTTCTTTTGCGAGTACGCGGGACACATCGTCATCTTCATCGGCAGCGTGTACGTCAGTTGAAAGATCCAACGTACGCACTACACAACTGTCGGTTATGGATGGACGGAGCACATCAGACGCGCAGCTATACGCGTCCGACATGTTACCGTGTGTAGTAGCGGGCACGACGTATAAGTCGACCCGAGTGACGGAAGAGCCGTTCGTGGCCATCACGGCACACGACGGAATTCTCACTCATCAATCACCTGCTGGCGTGGGCATTGGCAAGGACAGCCGTGCACGAGGCGTGTCCAGTGGGGGCGTACCTTCGAACTGTGAGCCTTCGCGCTCGGCGCTCGCTCTATCCACTCACACCCTTCCCTTCCCTTCCTTTTCGCATTATCCTCTCGTCCTTCTTGCTCCACGTTTCTTGTAACTCGGACGGATTTCTCCCTCGACGCAGGACTTGTACGCACGATGTTTAAGTCCTGGGTCGCACGGCTGAGCTGTGCGCGTGTCGTCAGAGCCACAAGTTCGACCAGGGGTTGCCACGGTCGAGTGCAACAGCGCAAGAGTATGCGAGAGGGCCACAAGATGAGTCTTTTGATGGTCGGCGGATAGGCTGGCAGACGATGCAGTAGGCGGGAGACGGCTGAGCGGGCAGGCGGGAAGGTAACTGAGTGAGCGGGTGAGAGAGCAGAGGCGCGCCGTCGCCTCCAAGTGCGAAGCGCTCACTTCGGCGAATGCCGACTGCAGCCACCACTGCCACGACACGACTTCGCGCTGCGGCTCTAACTCTAACTAAGGCCCTCTCCTCACGTCCGCTGCCCCAGCGTCCCTTTCACCAGCTTTATCGCCCTTGCCTGCCTGCCGCAGATCACTAGGCCACGCAGAGCGGCCTATTTCAAGACGGGCGCGCTCAACGAGCTTCAGTGATGCAGCTCGCAAACTAGGTGAGTGCCCCGATATTAGCTTGATGGGCCCGCCGCGTCCAAGCCTGGCTCACGGAGACGACGACCTCGAGGAGCTCGCCCGCCTCGGCGAGGGCGCCGGCGGCGCCATCTACAAGCTCAGGGTGAAGCGGACAGGCCAGATCATCGCCTGCAAGAGGATCACCACGCTCGAGGCCCCATGAAGTAGCTCATGCGCGAGATCAAGATCACGTTGAGCACATCTCACCACAACATCATCCGCTCCCTCAGCCCATACATCTCGCCCTCCTCCAGCGAGGTCAAGGTCCTCAGGGAGTTCTGCGAGGTGGCAGCCTCGAGTCCACCGGTAAGCGTCTCAAGGAGACCGACAAACGCGTCACCGAGAACGTCGTAGGGCGGATCGCCGAGGGCATGAGCTCTGCGACTTGGTGTCTCCGGCGGGCTCATCAACTCCATGGCAGGCACCTTCACCAGCACCAGTCTCTACATGGCGGTACGTCCCCTTCCCAGGCTGATCGCCCGCTGGCGTGCCCTGTGCTGATCTGCGGTCCAGCCGGAATCATTGTCCAGGCACGAATACACCATCCAATCGGATGTCTGGTCGATGGACATCTCCCTACTTGAGCTAATCCAGAACCGCTTCCCCTTCCCTAGCGATCTTGCCGCGATTGAGCTCACGATGTACATCACCCAGTCCGAGGTACGCTGCTCCTCCCCATCCCTTCTTCTCCCGTCTCTCACCTCCCGCTGTTCTACCACCATTCCCATCCCACGCTACAGCTGCCAGAGCTTGAGAACGAGGGCCCATTCACCTACAGCACTGAGATGAACGAGTTCATCAAGCTAGTGTACGTCTCGTTGTGGCCTATCTGTCTGTCCGTTGTCATCCCCATCCCGTCTCACATCCCCTCCTTGATTGCAGGCTGACGCGAAACGCTGCGCTCTGCCCGATGCCTGCGAGTCTCCTCCAGCACCCGTGGATCAAGAACGTCAAGCAGCATGAAGCCGACATGGCTATTTGGATACGCAAGGTCTGGCCGGGCTGGCCCAAATGCAGGTCATAGGCGAGATGTAAGTCACATTTCCTCCCCATCTCCTCTCTCTTCACTTCGTGCACGCGCGCGACATTGCCGCGACATCTTCTCTCACGCATGCACGCTGATTGGGCGTAGAGCCTACTGAGTAAGATTTGACGTTTCGAACGGTAGACCCGGAGTGAGATTCGGCCGTCTAAGACGGTGCAGCCGGCGCCGGCCGGAGGGGTCCGGGTCAACGTTGCAGACGGTAGCGTACCAACGTTCCGGCCGGAGGGCTGGCCGGCCGGATACGTCTCGTCCCCAACGTTCCGGCCGGCCCTCCACCCTGCCCCTGCGTCCCCCAGCGGTGCACCCGGAGCATCCCATCCCCCGTTCCAACGTTCCGGCCGGAGGGCTGGCCGGCCGGATACGTCTCGTCTCCAACGTTCCGGCCGGCCTGCACCCTGCCCATGTGTCCCCCAGCGGTGCACCCGGAGCATCCCATCCCCCGTTCCAACGTTCCGGCCGGAGGGCTGGCCGGCCGGATACGTCTCGTCTCCAACGTTCCGGCCGGCCTGCACCCTGCCCATGTGTCCCCCAGCGGTGCACCCGGAGCACCCCATCCCCCGTTCCAACGTGCCGGCCGGGCACCTCTCGTCTCCAACGCTCCGGCCGGCCTTGTACAGCACCGGCTTACCGCTAGAATTGAGCCCTGGATCAGGCAAGCCAAAGGAACGTCGGCTGGTCGGACGATGCGTCAACAAATGGATGGCAGATGATAATATTATCTCCCATCAATGTTGATAAGTAGTGATCATGCTGCGGGTCAGCCATCCTTTCGAGTCCTTATCTCGGCCATGAGGAAGCCACATGCTATACACAAGGTAACCATGAGGCCGCTTTTTTTCAGGGACGTGCATCCGGCGTTGTCTGGGGACTTGCGACGTCGCTCGTACGACTCTGCATCAATCCCCACCATGGTCACAGTATCCCAAGTGCACAACCAGTACTGCTCGTATCTGGAGGCATTGTACCTCTACTTCCTCTCGGTGCCGGCATCGCGCCCCGGCGCCGCTCCGCTTCCCGGACTACTCCTCGACGTCTATCTGGTTCGCCAGGCCAGGCGTGCAGCGCAGATGCTGGCCGACGCGTACAGGAATCGCCGTGAGCACTCATCAATCGTTCGCCTACATGCTCATCCACTCATTCACCAGGCAGGAACTGTACCGTGGGATGCGTCGACTCATCCATGCACTGTACCGGACGATGATGAATTGGCCGCAGTGCAATACGAAGACTGCCAGGGTCCGCTTACCATCGCTGACAATCAGGGCCGGGTGCTGATGTGGCACCTTCCCGGCGTGATCACGGAGGTCTTCCAGGTACGCCAGAATACATATGTCCACCGCCAACTGTCTATGACCGAGTACAAGAGAGCAATATGGCACGCCACAATCGGTCTCAATCCACTTCTCTCCCACAATCGCCCCAAGGCGAGTGCAAGCTGGAGGGAAAATATTGAGAATTTCCGGGAGCCGCAGGAGGGGGACGACCTTAAGCCGGCGTGTGTCGCGTTTTCACCGGGGTGGTTCTGGCTCGGACACGCTGTACGTCTCCGGATAGACTTCCCGAATTGTTCGCTCAAAGTTTAGCAGGGCGCCAACGACGTCCCACTGGTCTCTCGATTGCTCACCGATCCGAACACCGGCCCCGCCGGTCGCATGTGGTTAGACCAGATGGCCCATCCGCATATCATCATATCCGGCATGCTGCGCATCATGCATCCGGATTTGTATGACGCCGGTCGTTCCTCTATTGAAGCTCTGCGAAGCGACCCGGACCGGGCCAGCATTGTAGATTTGTGGCACAACCCGTTCAATGCCCTTTCGGTAATCACAAACCGAGCGAGCCCGGTACATCGGGACATGCTGTCTCCGAAGGAATGGTACGACATCCTGATGACGATTGGTGGCGATCCCGAGCAGTACATCAAGTTTCCGACTTTGGGTCTCCGACTTCCTTACAAAACCGGAACGGTCACCGCATTCTCGGGCACTCGCCTCCCCCATGATGTTCCACAGGCGTCGGCGGAGCGGTTATGTGTGGCATACTTTATGCGACGCAATGTACATCGCTGGGCTGGGATGCCGGACGTGAGTTGGCGGAACACTTGGGAGTGAAGGTACTTCGAAAGCGGGATATGTGTTGGGCTGGGGGGGAAATGGGTTCTCTCGTTTGGGCACTCGTAGTGTTTAGGGTTACAAGACCAGTACTCAACCACGAGTCCAATTTACAAATGTGTGCACTTCACTAGCCCCCGACATACACCTCGTTGACCGGCCGAGACTGAGGTTCTTCGGGCCGGGAACACCGTGTATCATCTCGGCGAAATGTGCAAGTCTTCATTGTAACCAAGCAGTGGGAGGAATACATGAATGGAACTTGGGTGGAATGACGCAAATTCTACACTACTCATTCACCAGCCTGAGTGACCCGGAAATGAGACGCCACTGCCGGGGCCCTTGGAGTCATCCCGCGCTGCCAGGCTTCCCACTCTGCCGCATTCGCTCGGGCGGCAGCGTGCCAGAAGTTGAGCTCCGCCCGGATATACATATCCATTGTCTGCATGGCCCCTCCAAGTTGCTCGAACCACTTGAAAAGATCATTCGACATGCGTCCCGGCATCATTTCCGGGCTGAGGGGCGGGGGGTTCGGAAAGCGGGGGAGATATGCCCGGCTGATTTGCTCGGCACGAACAGTAACTCCGTCCTACGACACAAATGTGCATAAGCAGAGCACGCAAATGGTAGTTAAATCGTCGTACACGCAACTTCTCCAACTCCAGTTGCTGCTCGAGACGGCGGTATTGTTCTCTCGACGCTCCGAGCTGCTCGGCGATGATCTGATCCATGTTGCGCTGGCTTTCACGCAGCTCCTGCAGAACTGCTTCCGGAGTGTTGCTTTCCGGTAGGGCGGGGACGGTTTGCGGGAGTTGATCTTCCGGTGGCCTGGGATTAGCATCGCTAGAAACTTGTGCTTAGACCGAAACACTTTACCGTTGTGCTCGCAGGAAGGATTGTCGCTGGTTCCGGTGGGAGCGGGCGTCGCACTTTGCCCTGGTGCGATGCCGGAGACAGCCTCGATCACATTCGTGACAATGGCCAAGTCTTTGCTTCCCCGGGGTGCCACAATCTCACAGTAAGTGGTCATTGCTTCGGTAAGACCATACGTAGCGGCCACCTCTGGCTTCAACAGCTCCTGGAGGCCGATCATGAGGGCAGAGACCGACTGAATGTGTCGTATGTTAGCTGCACGACAAGCAAACGATACCGGGGCAGCTTACGATGCCCACGAGAAAATTGTTAAGGGCGCCGGGCATCGCAGGATTCTGCTTGGCCTCGGCGAGGTTTTTGAGGGCCTTCGGGATCATGATGTTTCTTTGGCTGTCCGCGAGGAGTTCGGCGAGCATGGTGTTCATTGTTGTTGAGCAGCTCGGTCCAGACGACGCGGATACTGTACGATACAGGAGTAGGTGTGGACAACATGCGAGTGCGAAGCGTTATCATCAACTGATCGCCGATGCTGAGCACGTGATTACATTCGGGGAGACATGCCTTCTTGGGTATAGTCTGCTCGGCACGTGTGGCACGTTGCCGACAGGCCATTTCGCAGCCCGCCTTCTGTAATGGTAACTGTGATATTTTACCCCCATCACCTTCCTCAATCACACCAAGCTCTTATTTGTGTTGACTTGCCATATGGACATGGTGCGTTCTCATTGGTTCCGCACCAATCCCACCGCGCGCATTAACTGGCATTGGCAGTCTTTCCGGCTCGAAGCCTTTCCTTTCCTCAGCTGGGGATTGCTTCCATTCGCATTGTCCACCCCGTGAGTGCTTCCCACGGTTCAATGTACATCAAGATTGTGACATTAATATTTAGTCATGCCGAAGTGGTGCCCGAGCGGCCACACACATATTCGATCAGGCGATATCTGTGTGGACAGATCCATCAGGAAACCTACCCCACACGAATTTGTGGAAATCTGCACAAATTCGCACAAATCTCCTGGAGACCCCATTTACTTGACCCCCCCAATTCCCTCGCTCGAATTTGCATGAATTCACATCCAATGGCTGTGAATTGCAAGGAAATACTAGCTCAGCCATACAATTTGGGTACTTCAATTCACATTGTATTGCACGTATTTACACACATAACTACTACATCCACCCTACTCAACTCATACCTACAGCTGGGCATTCACCCAGAGCACTCGCTGTTGCTGTGCCCACCCCCTCGTCCGCTCGTCTGGTTGCTTGCTTGCCCATCTGTCCGCTCGTCTGCCCGTCCGCCCACCTGTCCATCCATCCGTCTGCATGCCCGCTCAGCTCCCATTTCGCATCCTCCCGAGCCATCCCACTACACTGTCCGGTTCACTCAACAGCAGAACATCAGCGCCAGAAACAGCACGACAGCACTCACCTCGCTCGTCGCCGTGGCGCGGGTGACGGTCTTGTGAATAGGTTGGCCGTCCGACGGAAGCACGGGGAGAGGCCGCACGGCGAGACGTACCGCCAGTGCTCGCTTGCGTGAATGCCTCGGAGGCAAAGACCTGCTTCGCAGGCTGGACACGACGAGCAGGTGTCGTGCCGCATGGAAGAAGAGTGCCTGCGCATCTCGTACGATGCTGTGGCCCATCTCGTGCGCACTGTGCCCCAGAGCGGCATGGGTCTCGGCACGCTGTGCGTGTTGTCCACCTGAGAGACGCAGGCCGGGCAGGCACGGGCTCGCGCCATCGTCTTGCGGGCTGCACGGCGGGCGAATCCGAGTCACCTCACCACGACGCACGCACGTCCCGCCCAGCACTCTCCCGGATCCGCATGTTGACGTCGTAGGGACGTCCACGGACCCTGCCCAATCAACGCGCACGCGTGGGTCATCGAGCATAGGCCCGAACGTCAGTGTCTGTGGCACGGACGAGGCTGCCATCTATGCCAGGTGGCGCCACGCTCGCTTCCGCGGACGTTGCCCGGAAAGGCGACGGCGACTTGGCTGCTGTCACGTCGCTGACGAGCACCCGGGCGAGGCGAGGTATATAACGCCGAGTCCTGTGGAGGGAGAGCGGCAAGGTGAGTTGTATGCTTCCTGCGGCAGAGTGGACACTAAACTAACCACACTTTACAGCCTGAGGTTGGAGCCCTCGTCGCAACAGGTGAGCAGGCTGTTCGCCGATGGGCATTGAGTGCGAGCCGTGGGTACGCTTGTCGTCGTCGACAGCAGGTGAGTCCGCTCGAGGCTTGATACCGTCTCGGGTTTCGCTCACGATGATGACCTCCTGCAGACTCTCGACGAGTACTGCGTCAATGCGGGACGGTCTCGATCGCTCGCAGCATGAGCGGAGAGGCACGCTGCCCGTTCATGCGTGAGCACGATGGGATGGACTTTGACACGGGCGGTGGGTACGCCTAGCTCGTGCTAGCTGCGCACGTTGCCGGGGCGCGCCGTCTTGCAGACCGGTCGTTGTACATGTCAGATAGTTAGCTCTGTGCACTCACGCCCGCTCACTCTCCCACTCCCTCGTCCGCTCATCCGCCCACTGTCCGTCCGTCGGCCGTGCCTGCACGCAGGGCATTGGCCCCGAGTGCTCGCGGTCGTCGCACTGCACGTTGCTGTGTTCTGTGTCTACGTTAGTGAACTCGTTCGCGTGCGTCTTCACTCACCGGTGGACTCTCGTCCTCGCTCGCCCTCGGCAGCCCCACCCTTCCCTGTCGTCCGTTCGTCATCCGCTCGTCATCCCCGCTCGTCTTCCGCGCCCGACGTCTGCTCGTTGTCCCTGCTCGTTGTCCGCGCCCGCCGTCAGCGACAGTGCAAGCGGATGGGCGAGAAGGTGTGGACACGGAAATTGTCAGTAGGTATGCTACTCACCTCTTTTTTTCGTGGCTATGCTTTCCTTTCGTTCAACGCTCCTACCCCTCATTCCCACTCATTCTCGCAAACACCTCTCTTCCTGTCTCTGCGCTTGTTGCACTCGGGCTTGCGCTGGCGCGCTCGAACTCGTCGTGTTCGGGCTGTGGGGCGGCCCGAATGGCATTGATGCGTGGTCGTGGAAGTTATCTGCATCGGTGGACGAGCAGATAGGCAGACGGCCAGTGGGATGAGAGAGGGCGAGTGGGTAGTCGGGCGGACGGACGAGTAGGCGGATGAGCACACTGACGGCCGTATGCGAAGGGGCAGCCTGGCGCGAGAGAGCGAGCGAGCGAGTGTGCCATAGAGTTGGTGGACGACCGGATTCCGATGTGCGACGTGGCGAGGTGAGTCATGTGACCGAACTCACTCAGGGCAGGCATACTTGCGACTTGTCTGACTTCTTCGTCTCGCGCTGCTCAGGCTGCTCACCGTTCTGTGCTGCCACAAGACTGGTACGCTCACGACCAATACGCTCACCGTCGAGCGAAACCAGTCTCACTCAGCCACCGTTCTCGCCCGCCGTCTCGCTTGCCCACCGTACTGGCACGCTATATCCATCGCACGCCCCGACGTCTCGCAAGCTCGCCGTCTCATGGGCCCTTCATTTCGCAGGTTCGCCATTTCGCAGGTTCGCCATCTCGCAGGCCCGCCGTCTCGCAGGCCCGCCGTCTCGCAGTCCCGCCTGCCGTCATGTCCGAGAGGGATGGGAAACTCCTTCGAAGAAGGAAACACAAAGAGGTGTGGAGGTTCGGATCGGAGAAATCGCAGGCGAGTATCCCCAGCGTGTTCTACGTCTTCGCAATGCTCGGTGCTAGCGTGGGTCTCATAGCGTACCAATTCACAGCCCGATCACTAGAGCCTGAGGCTCGACGGCCGAACCGCTGAGGTCGACTTGAACTCGCGCAACTACCTGAATTATCCACACCACTCTATCATGTCGTCCCCGTGCCACCACTCCTTCTAGGCCGACATGTCACGAACTTGCGGTGCCTCAAGGGGCCGAGGCGCGCCGTGCGCCTGCAGGTCGGGGCCGTATGGGGCATGTTCTTCCTTCGCACATGAAGGCCAGGCATGACCGCAATGCGCCTGAATAGTCGTCGAGGCCGTGTATACTGCGCTATCAGAAAGTACGTCAATATGCCGAGTTCCACCAAGGGCTTGTGAACTAATTGATAGCCACAACGCTCGATGTGACTGCCTATGGACGGGACACACATCAATGCGTCTTCCGTTGCCGTCTGCTCCTCCCCGACACTCTGCTTAGCTAGCACGCGCGTATTCCACGTGTCATATCCCTGCGTGCTCGACCCACACAGACCGCGCCGCCGAGCCCTGGTCTCGCTCCTTCCGCCTCCTCGTCCAGCAAGACCAAGCTCGAGCGTCGTCGAGAAGTCCGTTTCAAAGATCGCGCCACACTCTTCTCGGCGTGCAGGCACGGACGGAGGAGGGGCAGGGCGCAAGATAGTGCTAGGGAGCGGTTCGTGAGCCTACGGAGCAGAATGCGAAGATGGCCCTGGCTACGGTAGTGCGTCTCATTCGCTCTTATGTCACTCGTCTTTGCTGATCGATGCCTTCGCCAGTTCGTCGTCTGCACAAGGGATACCTCTCGCCCACCACCTCGTACTCCTGTTGTCTGCCCGCCGCCTCGCTCGCCCGCCGCCTCGCTCGCCCATTGTCTCGCCCGTGTACTCGCCGTCCCTCTCGCCCGCGCCCTCGACCCCCAAGCCGACGCTCGACGATGCCATGACTCTCGGCATCAAGGTCAAGGCGCCAGTCACCAGTGACCAGCCCGCCATGGCGAACTTGAAGGAGACCCGCCATCGTCTCGGCTCCAGCGTCCACATGTCCTCAGCATGGTCCCCAAGCTGGTGGCATGGACGCGTTGCTCGATGATATGGCTCTCGGCGCCGCCGGCTTTCCCGATGTCTTCCGCAAGGACAGGTACGAGATTGTCAAACGTCGTCAGGGTCTCACTCACTTGGTGCTTATGAGTAGTGATGCCTGTGCGTGCGGATATCAGTATCGCCATCGAGGGCGCTACTGCCGACGGGGCCTGCCCGTGGCACTGCCGACATCGTCTTGACGGAGCCCGGTCTCTCCTGCATCGCCGGATCATGCTCATCTTCCAAGGATGCACTGGCGGCACCGCCACTCGTTGTCCGTTTGCAGCGCCACGGTTCGTATTGTCGTTTGCTTGGCCGTCTTCGCCATGTGTTACCTATTGAAAAACACTCATGTATACATACTTTTGTGCTCGAACGTTATATGCTGCCCCGCCGACTCGGAGTCCCCTATTCTATTAATATTACACAGTATTTCGGAGACCTGAGACTACAGCCTGGTGCGAGTGAACATCCACTGTGACTTGCGTAATCATACTGAGTGTGGATTTGACAAATACTCGCTGCGGGCATTTTGGTGACGTTTGAGAAGTGTTCGCGCCGGTTTGGAAGCCGTTTACACGAGAGGTCGCGTCGGACCGATTTGGCGCCGATTCGCGCCACATTCGCGCAGGGGGGGTTTCCTGATGTCGTCATGTCGGTGACGTACGAGAGCAGCGAAATGTCCCTTGACATTTCCGGGATTGATGCCAGGCTGGAAAGGATTATGTTGCTGTTTGATGTGGTGGAGGCGCGGGATGGAATGTTGATGGATTGAGCCCTTGGTTCCAAATGCTTACACATGTATTCCTGCTGTCGTGCTTTCAATTGCTCCAAATGAGCCAGGATGATCACCGAACTCCCATTACTTGGCATGCGACATTGCAGGATGCCATCCCGGGCAAAAGTACATTTCATGTCCTCGTATGAATTACCAGAGCACCGACAGTCCCTCTAAGATACAACTTTCTTCTGCCAAGCCCACGCGGGCACTATGTATACAGGCATACGACATTCCGGCCAACACCTCGTTCACCTAACCCGGGCCGAGTATTTGCCTGGTCGCTCGGCCCGAGCTTTTGAAAGAGTGCTCGGACCGAGGGTTTGGGAAGTGCTCGGGCCGAGAGTTGGGCACACAACTGAGGCCTTGAGTTCTCAACATTTCTCGGGCTAAGAGCATGCCTGATACCTCGCGCCGAGAGTTTGGACTGGTGCGCGGGCCGAGAGTTTGGTCACATTCTCGGGCCGAGTTTTTGGACTGGTGCGCGGGCCGAATGTTTGGTCATATTCTCGGGCCGGGAGTCTCGACTGGTGCGCCGGCCGAGTATTTGGTCATATTCTCGGGCCGGGAGTGCGGACTGGTCCGCGGGCCGAGTGTTTGGTCACACTCTCGGGCCGGGACTTCGGGCAGGCATTCGGACTCGGAGCTGGGACCATGGGGCCAGACAGCTCGTCACAACCCTCGGAATATGTAAACTGTGTAGCCGGGTAGGTGGTACGATCACAAAGTGAATTTCTATACTACCACTACATCACGACATTTGGCTCCAGGTACAGATCCCGCCATGCCACCTTCGCATCTTCACGCAGGCGATCAAACAGTGCGCCTTGTGCTCGGCAGTGCTGGGAAAATCCTGGGTACTCGGTATCGGAGTTAGTGGTCGCTAGTTCCCGCCACCGGCATGCTTCATGATCAAAGTATCGGCACACGGAGTCAAGCTCCCTGCGCAATATGGCGGCTTCTTCCTCCAATCTGTCGACCTTTGAACGGGCATGGAACCACTGTACCCTGTGAACTATGCGCGACGTCAGCGAGTTATTCAATGTCCCACCGCCGTCTCACGTACTGATCCCCAACTCGTCATTGCTCCGTATGTCCCCACCGACGTTAACATTCCATATCCACGAGGGGGACTTGTGCCGTTGGCCGGCCTTGTTGGGCTCAGCAATGGCGGTTACTGTCTTTAGATCGTCTGGGGTGAGCTGCTGATATTTAGCTTGATCCTCTGCAGACAGGCCGAGCACTTGCATGGCCGCTCGGGCACGGCGATAGATTGCGGCTTGAAGCTGTACAGCTCGGTCGAGTTTACCCAACTTGGTAAAGGATCGGGTGCGCTTCTTGTTGCCATCTTTCCTCCCGTGCCGAATGGTTGTCTGGAACTCAAACGACTTCTTGCCGATGAGAATCCGAAGCTGCTGCAAGGCATCATTTGCTTGTCCGCGCCGCAGAGTGAGCTCGTGCGCGGCCAACCGTTGCAATCCATTGGCGGTAAGAGCATTCCGCGTGAAATTCGAAGGTAGCCCGAGTTTCGTATGTTCCGCCGCCTTCACTGGGTATGGTGCGGGCGGTTTACTGGGAAAGATGGACCATGGATTGTTGGCATGTGCTGGGGGATCGTTGGGATCGTCTTCCCACTCCGCAGCCGAGTCGTCATCCACTGCTTCCTCCTCTGCCACACCCCAGTCATGCCTTCGGTGAATTGCAGCCGCTCGCCGGTGGAACCGCCGGATCTGACTCTCGAGAGGCTTCCTGCGTTTGGCCAGCTTTAACTCTTGAGCCCCCGTCACAGTGGCCCCCATTTGCTTTATGTCTTTCTGGATTGCGAGTCTGCGGGGTGTCAGAAGTAACCCGGAAAAGGCGGTCAAAGCACTGACTGTTGCTCTTCAAGCTTAAGGCCGTCGGCAATCCAGTCTGCTGTGCCAACGCGGTCCCCGCCGTCACCCTCTTCTTCTGCCAGCTTAATCTGAAGTTCGAGCCGCGAAGGCACTGTCACCAAATCAGCCTTGAGCTCGGCATGGAGAGTAGAGTGTACTAACTAATTTGTTTCTTCGCTTGATACCTGTCCATTACCTTCACATCCCGCAGCCTTCGTTGTTGTACTATCCTGAGTTCCCTCCTCCACTCTCCCAAAATCTCGGCATCGACACTGGCCTCCTTTGCGGTGAGGTCGGCCTTCATGTCGGCCAGCAGTGGCCGATTGGCTTTGATTTTTCTTCTCAGCGAAGCCACTGTCCTCCGTCAGCCCAATGTGTGATGCCACAATCAGGTAGACCATACCCATGGTGATCATCTTCTTCCAATTCCAATTGTTCATGTGCCGGTCGAGGGTTTCCTGCCGGTGGGATGTTGACATTGAGCGGGTACTACCCGACACGGGATTGATCCCCGACCATTGGGTTTCGATGATCTCGCCGTCAGCTTCCCCGGCCCCCTCGGTGAAGGTGAGAGAGTGCCGGAGCTCGCACTCCGCCTTGTGACCGTGAATGTGAAAGAGGCCAATGCACTTGTATAGGACGAGGCCCCCCGGCATTTGAAGGTAAGGATTGTCGTCAAACCGGTCATTGAGATGGACGTGGTACTGGCACATGATGTCGTATGATACATAGACGTGCCCAATGCCTCTCGAGCGGTAGCCGAGAGCATTGGACAGAGAGTAGTCCATGTTCATCTGACGTTCACCCTTCTGATAGTTCACTACCGAGTGCGGAAGGAAGCACCCGTGCCTCAAACAAGATGTTGCGCCGATCCCGGTGACAGCGAGCTTATGCCGGTCGGCGTTGGCCTGGGAGACCGCCTTGTGGTCGTTGCAGCTTGAGTGCTGTGGACGTGTTAGCCACACGTTCGTATGCCGGCTGTATACACCCTCACCATCTTCACGTCCTTCGCTACTCTCAGGTGCTCCTCGTATGGGCCGGGATGAACCATGAACATTTTCCCCGGCATCAACGGTACGTCGTTCTCGGGCTTGCGCATTTTCATTTGCTCGGCGTGGAAGTTCCCATCCATGACATATCCTCGGGCATATAGGTACCTCCAGAACAGTTCAGCTGGCGTATACCGGCGAACAGAGTAACTACTTACTTCCTATCATCCACCTCCCAGTCCTCGGGTATGTTCACTCCGGGCTGCGGACATGCCGGGCAAAAGTGAGCAAGGTCTCCGTTGCCCGGGGCCTCTCGCCACTGTGGCCCGTATCCAAACTGTTTCTTCGCCTGGAGCAACGCCCATTCGCGGCTCACTCTAAGCAACTCAAGGTATCGATCCTACTTCCATTTCAATCATGTGGTGTGCTGGTATTCTGCACGCTCACTCACCGGTACTTCATGGGGAAACGCCGGATTAGTGGCCCGTCGAATCCGTGCGTAGTAATTCATGGCGGTAGTCTTACACTCCAGATTGTCCAGCAGGAAACCGTCAAGTGCCCCAAAGGTGAAGCATGTACGAGCCTTCCGCTGGCTCGCCGGATACAACCCGGCATCGAGAAGCTGCGATGTATGGTCACCGGCGTCGGGACAGCCGCACCACGTCACCGGGAGGAAATGCACCCCGGTGGTGTCAACAATAGTCATCATTGCAGGCGGGGGTCGCGGAGGTGAGTCGGCGTGGTGAAGAGGGTCCCTGGTACGTCGCCATCATCGTCGGCCGCGCGATCGGTCGCCCGGTCCATCTCCACTTCCTCGTCATCCTCCACGACAACCGCCGGCTGGGGGCATTCTCTGCCCCGGTGGCCGAGAGTATTGAACTCCAACTTGACGGAGCCATGAGGGCTCCCAGTATCCTCCGAGGTTCCACTGCTCAACCCGGTGGAATGGTGTTCGCCGGTGCTCGGCGAGACAGCAGGTCGGGCAGAAGATTGGATAACCAATGCACGACATGCACTTCCATACCCCGCCGCCACTGTTGCAGCTCGAGCACATATAGCTCCCCTCGGCACTGAGCGCGGGAGGCTTGTAGTGGGCGTACAACGATCGGAGGTAGTTGTGCTGGAGGGGAATCCACTCTCTAAGCATCTCAGGTTGTGTCTGATTGAATTGGTGAGGCTCTGTCTACGATACAACATGGGCACTTGGTATACCTGCGGGGCACTCTGTCGAACTGTGGGGAACTCGCAGAAAGTCGTGTTGGCAACATCATCGGTTGGTGGCGTCCAGCTGGACTGTCTTGTTGTCGACCGAGCGGTTCGATGGGGTGTAGCCGGCGGAGTCTGCAACCCGCTATTCTGCACCTCGACAAGCCGTGACCTCACTCCCCTTGCAGTCCTTCTTTCGTCAGTGTGAGTTCTACCACTGCAGGAGAGGTTGCCGTTGGCCGCAGTCGACCCATGGTGTTACCAGAGCAATCAACAGCTCAGCAGTTTGACGACGGCAGAGTTCAGCTCTGTATTGCCATTGCTGACGTCAAAACTCCTGCAACCATTGCGATTGCACTAGTGCAGCAGTATGCAGCGGGCCGGCCGCACGTGTTCCGGGTATGGTGCGGCCGGGCCGGGATCACCGACGTGGAGTCGCTAATGTTGCAGTTCGTCGTAATCAGACAGCATTTAGGATTCCATGATGGTTCTCATGAGAATGGGCGCGTAATGGCCCGGCCGGACATTAGTCAGTTGCGTATATAATGATGCGGCCGGCAAGATGTCGATCACAACGGTCCGGCCCGCCTGCCGGGTCACGTGTCCGGTGCGCTGCGTTTCATCCAGTTAGACGAGTGCCAGAAGCATTTCCTGGATGCTATGTTGGAGCCAGATCGGTTTCAGCCTGCCCTGGCTTCCCGGTCGGGACGGCCGGTGATGGGCCTTGTCTTAACCTGGTAACGGAGTCAGTGACCGGACCCGGCGGCGAGCGGGATCTGCGATGCGGCGAGTACCATGGAACTGGAGAGCTAACAAGTCACACCTTGGTGACTCGCTGGAATCCAATGTGGGTTCGTCCGTGATGCTCCGGCCGGCACGCACCCATTCTGCGCGGCCGGGGAGCCAAGACAACAGAATGTGGTGATTAGGAAATAATGAAATCAATGCAATGTTATGACTGAAGGTAGTATTTTGGTGAACCCGAGTACAGCTGGTTATGTAAGCTCAGAGTCCAAGGGTTGTGGCGAACAAGGTGGGGGTGTCACCGAATCGGTCACCCCGAGGCTACCAAACTCTTGCCGTCAACATCTTCGTCAAGAAATCACAGCTTGCTTACGCTGCACCCTGACCTCGTCACCGCACTCGCAATGGGGAAAGTCACCTGGAATGAACAGGACCTCGTGATCCTCAACAGCAATCTGGAGGACTATCAGCAGGCTACCGAGGATCTACAGCGGCGTCAGGAGCTCGTCGAGAACAGCATTGAACGGCTCCAAACGCGGAGGGGGATTCAGTTCGATGCAGCTCTACGAAAGGTACACATTCTACATACTTGATGTGACAGTTAGGGATGACCTCCGGCAGCGCGTCGAGAAATGGTACTCCAACCGAAGAGCATCAAAGGAACAGGTGAAGAAGGAGATGTTCAAGCTCGGCAAGGACATAACGTGGAGGACGGTGGCCGCGCGGGACCGGGAAGATGAGCTCGGGGAGATCATGTCTAGGATTGGTCGGGAGCGGGGGAAGGATGGGTCGGATGAGGAGGAGGATGACGACGAGGGCGAGGAAAGGGAGGAGAAAGAAGACAAGGGAATGGCGAGTCGCCGGATCCCGGGCATCTACCAAACCGCATTGAAGGAACTGTGCGACAATCTGTCGCCGGAGGACCAGGCCGAGTACATGCAGGTAGCCTCCGATTGGAACACCCAGGTCTGGCCAGCGGACCTTCAACGGAAGCAGCTAGAAAGGCATGGTGCCAACATGATCAGGGACTTCATGAAGATCATGTGGAGGAAGTGCGGCGCGAGGTGCTTCCTGCTGTTGGGGATCCCGATGGATAACGGGGCCAGTGGTGTGTTGGAGTACGTGTGCCGACCTTAACACATTGGTGTAGTTATTAAAAGATCAAACCAGGTTCGACTTCAACGACGAGATGTTTGTTGAGGAAGGCGCCCCTAAGGTGCCGAAGTTCACTGCGAGCGAGCCCAGTTCAAAACCGGTCTGATGTATGGGATGTGGAAGAAGTACATTGACATCGCCTTCGGTATGTGAAATGCTTGGGCGACGCGTACGAGGCTTGAATCATGAGCGACCAGATGCGCATGGATTTGAAGACGAAGCCGATCACGGCCCAGCATCTCTGATCGAGAATATGGACTGGGAGGAGGATGAGGATGGGTACCCACTGATGCCGGAGCCCGACCACGACTGCTTCAAGAAGACGAAGCTCAAGAGGCAATTTCTGGCGACCTTTGTTCGGAAGACATATGGTGCGTGTGTCCGGGATCCTAACCGATTCTGTTTGCGTCCGGTATTGACACGCATTCCATGATTGCCATTGCATCCACAGTTAATTTCACCGGACGATCAACAGTCAAAGTGCCCTGGCAATCGCTGTCCGAATTGTCCGACTCCTTCATAGATCCCGAGTACCTCCCTGCCGGCAGCGTCCTGAGTGACCCGAACAAGATGCGCACCGGGGACCTTGACGCCATCCTCACCCACTGGCGCGAAAGGCAAAACGAGCACCCACAGGGTCCCGTGCTGCGATTCAGGGCGTGGAAGAACTCCAAGATGGAGATCGTCGTCCCACAGGAGCTGAGGCCTAAACCTCCGGCAAGGCGCCCACGCCCCAAGCCTCGGCAAGCCACTCCCGGACCGTCTCGCCCACGTCGCCGGCGGTCTCCCGCCGACGTCGCCAGCGATGAGGAATCTGCGGTGGAGACCGATGGAGAGGAGGACTTCGGCGAGGTGTTCAAAGCTGACTTCAGTACAGATGAGGAGGAGCAGCCGGTGAAACTGTCCCCGAAGCGCAAGGACAAGGGAAAGAAAAAGGAAGTGGTTCCCGCGTCGCCGGATGAGGACACACCCCGCCAGCCCGAAAGGACAAAGGGAAGGGTATCGTTCCACGTACTGCGCCGTCGAAGCCCGAGCCCACTCGTCGGGCATCCGGAAATGACAGCTCGGTCACGGCAGGTCAGTCGGGCAGACTCAAGAAGCCCGCAGCAGTTGCAGCGGGCGGCAAGGTCGTTGACGAAGCGGGCAACACGACCTCAAAGCCGGCAGCGAGCAAGTCCCGGGCGGCAAAGCGGGTGTCAAGCCCACCAGTGACCGGCCCGAGCCTGCCCCCGAGCCCTCTGTCAGCCGGAAGCCCGTCAAGCCCAAACCAAGGTATCGTACCACCACTGATCAGCAACCGACAAGGTCGCCAAGCAGCCTGACGCAAAACCGGAAGCTGGGCCCAGTCGGAAGAGAAGGCTCCGGCCGAATCCGATGCCGACGACGACAACGAGGTGGTCATTCTGCCGACGCCGGGTAAGTAACGGTCAGTGTCGCATGTGCCACATCTAACATCCTTCCATTTGTAGTCAAGCCGAAGAAGACAAAGGACGTGCCGGCCGTGCGCACGGGTCGTCCTGGACCACAGCCACACGAGGACAGCCCGGCCGTCGCCGGCAACACTTGGGACGAAAGGCGGCAGTGGATCAAGCAGCTAACCGTGGACGACGGCGTTATGAAGCTCGTAGACAATCTGCACCACCTGGTGGGTGTATCATTTGAAGCCTGGGCTGCGTGGTGTTGACGAGCAGCGACCAGCCGGAGACCGGAGCATGGCAATCCAAGACGAAGTGGGATTGGGCCAGTTGGAAGTACCGCCGTGCAAGGTGCACTCCGGATATCCATAGGGACAAGGGTGTTCTCACCCAGTTCCGCTCCTGGCTCACCAGAATCCGCACAAGCCTCACCGACACTCCGATGGGCCGGGAAGACGGCCTCCTGGTCACACTGGCCATTGCAATGGTTGTGAAGGACGTCGAGAAGAAAACCGAGCACCGGAGTGACGAGGAGGCAGAAATTCCGCAGTACGTGCACGAATCCCAACTGACTTACCGCTTTGTCGAGGAATTGGGGGAACATTGCACCGAGATCGCGGACCTATGGTCGGACATGGCATACCGCACGCAGAAAAAGCGGAAGGCGGATGGAGAGCCCGAGAAATCATCCGCCATCGGTGCCCGGGCAAAACGGGTCAAGCCGAACGTGTCTGCATCGCCGGCGCCGGGAAAGCGGTCGGCAAAGAGCACGAAGGCGACCAGATCGTCCACTCGCCGGCGTTAGAGATTTGTCCGGATGTCACGTTTGTACACACTCAATTGCAATGAAATGCCCGCGATGCTGTCTGTCCCACCTCCTAACATGGACCTCTCGGGCCGAGTGTTTGAGGATATGCTCGGGCCGAGAGTTGAATGAGTTGCTCGGGCCGAGAGTTCGGTGAGATTCTCGGGCCGAGGATTTGGTGAGATTCTCGGGCCGAGAGCTCGGTGAGATTCTCGGGCCGAGAGTTCGGTGACCTTCTCGGGCGAGCATTTGGTGAGATTCTCGGGGCGAGAGTTCGGTGAGATTCTCGGGGCGATGATTGGTGAGATTCTCGGGGCGAAGATTTGGTGATATTCTCGGGCGAGAGTTCTGTGAGATTCTCGGGGCGAGGATTTGGTGAGATTCTCGGGCCGAGAGTTCGGTGAGATTCTCGGGCCGAGAGTTCGTTGAGATTCTCGGGCCGAGAGTTCGTGAGATTCTCGGGCCGAGAGTTGGTTGAGTGTTGGTGGGCGGTCAAGCTCGGTGCTCGCTTCAGTCTAGGAACTGCGAGCTACTGTTTATTTCCTGGCCACAAGATACATTGTACAGATATTCGAGCGTACGTTACAGGTACATTGCGAGGACTCTATCATACTACGACCCCTGGCATCTCTCACTCCAAGCCATTAGCACCGCTCGTGTCCTTCGGCGAGCCCAGCACGGGCGGTTCATTGTCTCCAGACTGAGGGGCCCCGGTCGACTGCTCAGTCC